ATCTGTACCGCGCGTCCGCTTCAATAAAATCGATGCGCGCTCTTTCACAGTTACTTAACAACATTTATACGACGGTGTTTTAGATCTGCACGTGCCGGCTCGACACGTTGAAGTATGGTTTCATCGTCGTGAAATCTGCTGCGACTCCATCACAAGTGTATTTCTCATCGTTTATTATCATTAGACGCTATTTTCATGAATATCCATTATTAATTTGTTGTTTTTTTTTTTTCGTAAAATCGTATAATCGCGCTAATATAATCGTCGCAAAAGCGCGCATCTGTTAACGTTTTCGCATAACGAATCGATTATCGCAAGAGGGTCTCTCGTAATTTGATTTTTTTTTTTTTTTGAGGCGCGAGACGCGAATTATACGGTCGCAGCAACGGAGAGGAGAGAAGAACCGCGCGCACACAGCTGGCGCAATAGCGCAGTCATCATCGTTCGTACCGGCGGGGGTCTAAAGAGGTATTTGTTCACTGAGCAGGAAGTAATCTGTTTCAATGTGCCACTCGGACAATAAACAACGTATGTACGTCGGATCGTGAACGTATCTACTTACGACTCACTTATGCTTATCCGTGGGACTAGAACGAGAATAACAAACTTGCTTCTTCAAGATGGACCGAAAAGAGCGCTATTTAAGAATAATAATAAACGAAGTTTATTTTCGAGAGCGACAAGAAAAGATATATCTACACAATACTTTGTTAAAGTTTTTTTTATTTTTTTACAAATGAAAACTACGAGAATTGTTTACCTTCACAATGTAAATTTGTACGAGTATAGATATTTTTGCTATTTTTTACAGTAATTATTATTTTTTTTTTTTTTTACACAATTTTGTTGATCTTCCAACGAAGAAAGAATCGCGTTTGTTTCTTACGGTGATATGTAAAATTGTTTACCTTAATACAAGACGTAGATTGAATTTTACAATTCTCGTCAAGACAGGCGTACGAACGTTATTTTATGTCTACATCGTCTTTATATTGCAAAATTCGACGCGATAATTTAAAATAAACAGCGTACGTACGACAATACTACGGCTTATTATACACACGCGTATCTCGTTCCCGCGAGATCGAGGTGTTTCTCAGCGTGTCACGCGACGCGACGGTAACATCGAGTTTGCTTTACCACCCGCCTACTTCGCGCGAACTCATGTCCCAACAAGAAAATATGAAAGACAGTGATTGACGTCTGTAAAACTTGGCGTGCGATATCTAAGTCCCGCTTGTAAAATTGGGTCTCGCGCGAGTCCCGTTTGATCCGATCAAAAAAGAAAAAAATAATAATAATAATAAATAAGAAACGCATAGAGAAAAAATTATAGGCGACGGACAAGAAAATCCGCGAGTTCGAGTTATATTATTTTTCTCTAGCAGAGAAAGTTTGGGAGTATTGAATATCAAAAATCGCAGATTCTTTCGCAAGCGTGTGGCTTTTTATTTTATAAATACGCGTAACGGCACAGATCGTGCAATTCTTTCGACTCGAATTGAACTCCAGTTTCTTTTCTGCGCGACATAAATTCATCGGTGTCGCGACCGACGGCCTTGTTACGTCGCCAAAGACACACAGAGGAAAAAATAGCGCGATATCCCTTCGACGATGCGTGTGTACGCGCGCCCTGGTCCAACGTACGCACACGGCTATCGCGGCGGTCGCACGTAGGTAGGCTGCCGATATGTAGATGGACGGCCGCGATCGGGCGCGCACGCGGCGACAGTGTCGACTATTAATTGGCATGCACAACCAGTCCCTGTGCACGCACTTATACTCCACTTAAATAATAATTACCTGCTCCAACTATCGCGCGCGGTGCCGCGACGTGGGGCGCCCACGTAGGCGCCGTTTATGCTTCGTTGCGGTTTCCGTCGGTGCATTCCTATATACCACCGCCGCTATCGCTTTTGCCCAGTTGGTGCAGGATGCAAGAGAGAGAGAGAGAGAGAGAGAGAGAGAGAGACAGAAAAGGTTTTCGTATCGTGAATTACGATCGATATGGAACGCCCCAGATTTCCCACACTTATCCCTCGATCAATCGAGATCAGATCTTTCATGAAAATGTCAAGGTGCCAACGCACGATCGTCAAAATATACATGTAATCAAGAAATTACAAGAGATTTTTGGAAATTACAATGTATAATTTTGCAACAATTAAACAACAATGAATTTATTATTATTTAATTCTTCGGACAAAAATAAAATTTCGTCTAACTGGAATGTTTTGGAATTGAAATTTTCTCTCTGTCCGTTCTCGAATGTTTTATTGCGTAGAAAGCTGTTGGGAATTGAGCGCTTGAATAAAATCAATCCTTTCTGAAAGGAGTACAAGACGCACGATCTTACATTGCGGCTATTAATCGGGACTATTAACACCCGGCGGCGGCTCAATGGGTCTGATAGAGAAGTCTAATGAATGCTCGCGCGGTCCCCCGAAGCGTTCGAACAGAATACGGCGCGACGGTTTGCCGCGCGTATACGTTACGTCAGAGGGTGCGATGAATTGCGAGTTGCAGCGCGGCGATCGGTGCATAAATTAAAGTAAGCTGATTTGACAAAAGGCGTGTGTATACGGAGTTGCCGGGCACGCAATTACAGAGAGACATGATCAACGGGTGCACTCGAGCACTTGTGTTATGTCCGCGGCGATGCAAAGCGGCCGTAAGTCGGCGTTCTTTCTGAGAAACAAAAAAGCTTTGCGAATTTTTCGCGATGAAATTAGATATAGCGAGAAAGTTAGTTAAATTCACGCGAATAAAAACACTTTGGACATTTTACGCGCAAACTATGTTATTATTTTATATAAATTTTTTATATTTGACGCATCGCGCATGTACATACATTTTTGAAGAGACTTTCGTACGCCTCTCTGGCTTGGAATTATTTCGCAAAACCAGATTTAAAAAAATTTCCCGATTCGAGAAAACGAAATTTCGATCTCTCTGACCGATCACGTTGAACGAGAATATTGAGAGAGAGTAGTCGCTCGACTCTCTCGTGTTCTCTCACGAGCGGCGAAGCGCCGTGTATACGCGTCGTTCGCGTACGTACGCAGCATAAGTGTACGTCGCATCGGAGTCAAGTGGGCTGCCGTGGAATGTCGTCCGAGGAGTTTTCGAGGGCTCCTCGAAGCCGCTGTCAAACCCGAGTACGCCTCCGTTGGCTGCCGCCGCCTGTGAGTGCTTCACGCGAACGTTTCGAGATTGGGCGAACTCGCGCTGCAACACTCTCCGCGGAAAGCGCACACATACGCACACGGGAGAATGACGCTTCTCGAAGTCTCTCCTTTATATCGCCCAAGAAAGAGAGATATCGAGCACACACCTCCGCCGCTTCTTTCTCAAGTCGCGCATTCCTCGGAAGGCGTTTGTTCCATAGGAAAAGCACTTTTCCGCTCATCAGGGGAGATACGTCCTAGACCTTTTGCCATTCACTCGCGGATCGTTAGCGCGCGACTCAAGTGTACTCGTTTCGATCTTCGAAAGAGTTTTAAAACAAGTTTTCTTCTTTCAGTTTTTACATCGCCGATCTCTTTTGTCTTTCCTTATCTCTCATTAAAAAATCGAACGACTCTCATATACATATATATATATATATATGTACGTATCTTATATATATATATATATATACAGCGTATCTTATACGTCTTCACTCCTTACTGGATCAAGAATCTCGTGAAATATTTTCACTTGAAGTTTGGAGATAGATTTCTTTTCTATTTACAATCAAGACTTGCGCCTGCAGTTACAAATGCACAAAAATGTGTTCATAAAATTATTCAAAATATCTTCTTACAAAAAAGTATATTAGTCTGTATATTATTCTTGAATTTTTTTTTAACGCGTCAAAGATTCGCTTGTGACACTACGCACAGTTACGCTAAAACACGTTACGTAATATTCTACTTCTTCTTCTGAAGTGTGAAGAGCACGAAAGATGCGATAAAAGTTATTTTATTTTTCTGCGAGCTGTGAAGACTCGCGAGCACGAGACGCGTGGTTGTCTTGACGCGCAGTCGATGCTAAAATCGCTTATCTCCATTGTCAACATTAGTTTATACCGTTAAAATTAAACGCGAAAGATTTTTAATCGAACGAAGGATCAGAAGCCGCGAGTCGCAATTTAGCCGCGATAAGCAATATCGCGTTAACGATAGGTTTATACGCGCGTTTGCACTCGCCGTCCGTGACGTGCGTAACACGATGCGCGCAGTGATACGTACATACGTACGTGCGGCATACGCGTTTATTAGCGGATAAATGGAATAGCGCGCGATCGAGCGTGCCACCGCGGAATTCATGAATATAATCCAGCATCTCGGGAATAGCGGTCGGGGATATCATTGAACAGAGAGATGCCGGATGATAAATCGTCCGGCTAGAGGAGCTTGTTCTCTAACTGGCTCACAACGACCTTGCGAATGCAATGCGTGATGTTGCCGCAAGTACAATATACGTATATATCTCATATAAGATAGAAGCCGTAGTCGTCACACATTCGTCTTCGCTCGTCGACGCTGACGTTTTACACTTTATTTTTCAATTTAAAATAGAAATAATATGACACGTCGCCCTACGTGTGTTTATTGTCGACGACATTTCGTTCGCATCGACGGTCGCTTTTGTACGCGACTTCAATAGGGAGAAACTTTTTAATTAAATCCACCGAAAGCGGGTTAGGGAAGATTCGCGCGCTTCCAGGTCACGGATTCCGTCACGAGCTTACCGAAACTCGGCACAGTTTTCCCATGCTTTTTTGCAGCACGTACTTTTTTTTTTTTTTTTGCATTCCTTTGAGCCATTCTTTCAAGATTCCTTCTTTTCTAGAGAAATATGAAATTAAATAAAATTGTGCATTTTTAGGTAAAATAGAGGAGAATACTTTGAAAGCGCGTGTGCGGAATTGCGTTTCGTGCCACGTGTAACGCGCGAACAATGCGATGCACTTTTGATGAAAATGTAAACAGATGCGACGACGTCTCTCTTTCCAGAGATAACTTGTACCGCTTGACTCTGACGTCGCTCACGGACCTGGAGCACGCTTTGTGGCTCGCGCCGGAGGACAAGGTCAACACCTGTCAGAATAAAGGCCAGAGCGTGGAGGACTGTCATAATTACATCAAGGTGCTCCTTAGCAACGGCAAGAGTCTCTTCACCTGCGGCACTTACGCTTTCAGCCCATGGTGCACGTGGCGAGAGGTACGTTTCTCGGAACGGAAACCCGGTCCGATCGCGGAACTAACAGAAATCTCTACATTTGCGTGTATATTTGTTCACGCGTGCGCTTCGCGCCTATACGACGCGTCGATGCGACTTTGTTTTGCGTAGAAAAACCCGTTTTGCTACCGTGACTCCGCACACGGAGTTTAACAATCGTATGAATCGCAGATTGAGAATATAACGAGCGTGACCAACGAGATGTCGGGCGTCGCCATGTGCCCGTATTCGCCTCATGCGAATGTCACGGCGCTTCTCTCGAGGGGTTCGTTGGGACTGTTTGCCGGCACACCGACCGACTTCTCCGGAGCCGATCCTGCAATCTATAGAACACTGGCCCCCCCGAGCCTACGAACTCAACAATACGATTCCAAGTACGTTCGTTTCCTGAGAAAAGATATTCCAATATCGCCGATTTCACTTTATTTCAATAAATTAATCAAATGTTGAGATTTGTTTATTTTCATGTTACAATTGTGTCTCTCAAGCGCAACGTTCAGATATTTATTTGAAGTGCAAAAAAAGCCAATAAGAAACTTCAATTGTAGTTACATATAAATTTTAATTACGGCTCTGATTGTTTGGAAAAAACGTTTGGGCACAAATTTGTTACAAAAAAATATTACACGTGTAGCGTTATTATAGATTTTACTTCGAAGGATTAAGTCAGATTTGATATTTTTGCGGTAGTCTGTTACAACAAGCAAACTGCAAAATCATTCTTGCTTTGTCGCATCTCGACAAAGTTATCGCACCGATTTCTATACGCGCTTTTTTTTTTCAGGTGGCTGAACGATCCGCAGTTTGTCGGCAGCTTCGAGACCGAGGATTACGTGTACTTTCTATTTCGCGAATCCGCCGTGGAGTACATCAACTGCGGCAAGGTAAGATCGATGTATGCCTCGCGCGGTAATCCGTCGTGACAAGCGCTCGCTCGTACGCGCATTTTCTATCGTCCTCTATCATCCGGGATGTATGTACCAGAGAAGAAGCGCGCGATTAGCAATCTCGTCTCTTCGCTGACTTGCGCGCGTCAGGCGTATAATTAGCCGCTTACGGTGTCGGTCAAAACGAGCGACGCGTCGCGGATTTTCTTCTCGCGCGCGCGCGCGCGAAAAAAAAGTAAAAAATCACTACATCTCTCCCCCCGACATTATCGCGGTTCGCGCGATGTTTATCATTTTCTCGGCGTATCGCCGCACAAATTACCGCTTACGGAACAGACTTAATGAAACATTTTACGTACAGCTGTGTGTAATCGCGCCTCGATCAAGCCGCGCTTTAAAGCTACGTTTTTGCCTCTCTCGTCGCGTGGATTAATTTATTCAACACTCCACGTCTGAACTACGCCTGAAAGATCGATATTTTAAGCGTGACAGTTTAAAAACCGCTTCCGCATGCACTCTTTAAAAAACATTCTCTCCCGTTTTGTTTTTTGATTTTTGTTTATTAAACAAATTAACACGGATGATAATATTTATATACCGCCGCGTTTAAAAAAATGTCTACTCGTCAAACGAGGAAGTTTACACGCGACAACGGTTGCAGAAAGTGTACTCGAGGATAGCGAGGGTCTGCAAAAACGATCGTGGCGGAATTGCCAAGTGGTTGAAAGACGTATGGTCGACCTTCAGCAAAGCCCGTCTGAATTGCTCCCTTCCTGGCGAGTTTCCATTCTATTACGACGAGATCCAAGGCGCGGCGTATCATCCGGAAGAGGGAATAGTCTACGCGACCTTTACCACTCCTATGTGAGTATATATACGTTCGTATCGTTATTGGAGTAATCCAGATTAATTCGCATTAATTATCGTCTGCATTTATGTCTGTGCGCACATCATCCCAGAAGGATAACAAGACACGGTAAATGACAAATTGATTATGCGATACGCGATACGTTTAATATTCCGCAACGACATTGATTTATAACACAGTATCCAAATGTGGGCATCGCAACACATTGTGTTCGTTGCAAACGAATAGATTGCGACCTCATTGCATTTTATTTGAAAGCGAGTTCGTAGTTAAAACACGTTATTGTAGTAAAACTCCTGTATGAAATGTGTGTCGAAAATTCAAAACATTGCCGAATTATTTCATTTAATTTCCGTGTTAAAATCCGTCATTTATTGTTTTATTATTTTATAATTTGTTTCATCGTTTGTCAGAAAGTTTTTGCAAATGTTACATTGTTTTTTTTTTTTGATACAAGAACAAGCAACTCTTCTCAGGCGCGCAACGAACAACACAAACGCCGCGACTCTCTAATCAGAAAATTCTTTTCTCTTCTCGTCCTTCCGCAGTAACGGCATTGCGGGGTCGGCGATCTGCGCGTTCAACATGTCGGCGATAGCCGCGAGTTTTGACGGGCCTTTCAAGCATCGGGAACACGCGGGCGCCGCCTGGGAAAGGAAGCAGATCGCGCCTCACAAACGACAACGTTGCGATCAGCTGACCACGCCGTCAAGCGACTCGTTGCATCCGCCTATACCCACGGAAAATCAGCGTTATCAATTGATGGACGAGGCGGTCCAGAGCACGATGCTGGAACCGCTGCACACCGCGACCCTCGAGCGATTCACTCACATCGCGGTGGACGTGACTCCAACCAAGCTGCACCGCGCCGTCACGGTTCTTTACGTAGCTACGGCGGCCGGACTGATCAAGAAGATCTCCGTTCTGCCCAGAACGCAGGAAACCTGCATCGTCGAGGTTTGGGGACCTTTGCCCTCGCCACCGATGACTTTGCAGTTTCTCAAGGATACGCAGAGCCTCTACGTCGGCATGGAGATCGGCCTCCTACGGTAAGACGACTTTCGCAAGCGGGAATATATAAATGATGTTACGTTATTCTAAAACCCCCGCGTGTGTTCTCTCGGTTGCATAAGTTGTACCTATTGTCTTAAATATTGTCCGTCTCTTTCTCTTCTCGTCTTCTCGTCTTTGTTTTGCTAAAACTGTATCTCAAGCAATATATTCTCTCGCTGCTCTTTTAGCATACCCGCAGTACAGTGTCATCGTCATCGGAGCCGTCAAGCGTGTCTGAACGCCCAGGAGCCGTATTGCGGCTGGGACGAGCATCTTATGAAGTGCGCACAGGCGCCGAAGCAGAATTACTTGGCAAATCATTGGTATCAGGAGGTCACCAAGTGTCCGGTGCTTACCGATCCCGTAGACGGAGGCTGGAGCGCGTGGAGTCCTTGGTCAACCTGTCAACACGACACGGCGGAACACTCCTCCGGGAACGGCCACTCTCACTCGCATTCGCACAACGAAAACACGGAGGTTGGTGTGAAAGCATGTGTATATATCTATTTTATTAGGTTCGTCGTCCGTCAATTGCGCTTGTCCGTAATCGCTTGCAAGTAACATTAAGATCGAAATCTCAAACGAAATTAGAGGAAGAGGATTTATTATGTCCGTTGTTTGAATAAAGACAAATCGATTATTGTTAATTTTGTTTGAAATTTTTCAAATTAAATTGATAGTTAAATTGTAAATTTTTATTGCAGAAAATTGACACGTGTCAGTGCAAAACCAGAGAGTGCAACAATCCGCCGCCGCAACACGGCGGCGAGAATTGCACGGGTGCGCGTGTCAGGGTAACAAATTGCACTGTTCACGGCGGTTGGACCGCTTGGTCAGCTTGGTCGGCGTGCTCGCAAACTTGCGGTCTCGCGATGAAAATCCGCCGGCGTAGCTGCACGAATCCGGCTCCCGCGTTCGGCGGACGCGTCTGCGTCGGTCACGACCAGGACAATATCGTCTGCCTCAATCTGCCGCCGTGTCCCGCCAAAACCACTCCGCCGCCTCTGAGCGGTCAGTGGTCGCTCTGGGGTCCCTGGAGCTCATGTTCGCAGCCGTGTAACGGTGAGTATTCGGTGAGATTCGTCGCGATCGCGATAACAATTCGAAGATATCAACACAAAAGATGGCCAAGTAACGAAATCGAAACTTGTTCGATGTATTTTTGATAGTTTTATTTTTTTTTTTACAATGATATTGGTATAAAAATATCGTGTTACTTTCTTGACAAAAACATTTGGAAAAATGTTTGTTTATCTAGCAGGAATACGCACTAGAAGGAGAATCTGTGAAAACCCATTGTCGACAAAGAGCGTCGTCGAATGTCCCGGATGCGATTATCAGGCAAGTTTCACAATCTCTCTCGGAAAATATCTCTTTCTATCTTTCTGTATCTCTTATATGTATCTTTTTCTATAATCGGAAAAAATTAGAAAGCGCGTTGAGACGTTTGAGACGACAAATAAATAATGTTATTTCAGGTCGAGCACTGCAACGTTCACCCGTGCCCCGAAACGAAACGATATTCGGGATGGACTCAGTGGTTGGCTGCGAACTCCAGCTGGCAAAGCAACGGCGGTTACGTGGAGAAACGTTTTCGGTTCAGCTGTCGCGCGCAAACAAACGATCCTGCGAGCGTGCGTGTGCAGCTCGCCAAGGAAGAGGAACGTTATTGCAGAAACGACGGATCCTGTCTGAGAGGAAGGGATGCAGAATCTACCAACGAGAGCGGTTGGGGCGAATGGTCCTCTTGGGGTCCATGCGACCGACCATGCGGACAGGGCACCCAACACAGAGTAAGTATTCGCCCGTAAGTTCATCACATCGCCCAAACTGATAGAGAATTTCTGCCAGCTCTCTGAGAATCTCTCTAAATTTATACAAAAACACTTGTTTTTTTATATAGATGAGACAATGCGAGTCGCCACCGTGCGAAAGTGGTGTTGCTACGCAGAGCAGACTTTGTAACTTACATTCGTGCCGTGGGAATTCCAACGGCGTGAATACATCGGAAGGTCAGTGGTCATGCTGGACGGACTGGTCCGACTGTTCGGTGACCTGTGGTATCGGTGTGCGTACTAGGACGAGAGAATGTCTAGATCCGGAAAGTTGCAACGGTCCCAGATTGGTCAGAGAGACCTGCGAGATGCCCAGCTGCGAGTCGCTGGCTGGTTGGGATACGTGGTCGCATTGGACCGCCTGCGATGGCGACCGTCAACAGCACCGAAATCGAACGTGCTTGCTGAACAGGTCTGGCATGTGTCAAGGGCCGACTCGTGAGACACGCGACTGTCTTTCAGATTGTATGGACAACGGTGAGTTCAGCTAGTTTTTTCAGACCGAAGAATCATGTGCATTAATACATTTGCAAAATGTGATTTCTCTTCTATGTGTTCTTAAACGTCGTACGATTGGTTTTACGGTATGAAAATTGTTAGCTGCAGGTTGTTTGTGTTGAAAAGTGCGCATATTTTTCTAGATGTGAATGCCTTGCCTTCGAGCGGCGAGGGTTCGAGAATCACAATGGGCGCGATGGTGGGCAGCTGTGTGGTCAGTTTTCTCATCGGTCTGACCATAACCGTAGCATTTTACTTCTGCTACATGAAACGACGCAAGCCGCGCATACCAGGAAACCCACATTATATCAGTAAACAGAATCCTTACGTCACCGTGCCGTTAAAAGAGGTAAGTCACTCGGCAAGGCGTTCACTCGACGCGCTCACGCACGTCCTAGACCTGAATATTTCAAAGAGGCCGGCGATTCGGCAGGTGAACGCGAAGCGACAGTCCAGTTTTTCCGGCAGCACCAATGGCACCGGAACTCTGCGAAGCAAGACCAATCCTAATGTCAACGGTCTCGGTAGTCCGAAGTTGTATCCGAAGAGTCTCGATTACGAATCAGCTACTCTGAAACGTAACAGTCACGGACAACAGCAACACATCCGTGCCGATCTTGATCAGGACAAGTACTACTGAACTATCATCGCATCGTCGTCATTCAGTGAATTTGTTAGGTGTTCTAGTTGTTACAATCACGTGTGATTTTCAAGTGAGACCGAAACGATTTTTTTGTGCAGCTGTATGTAAAACTTTACTACTTGACGAATGTCGATCGCCGTTGAAGTAAAACACATGTGAAGACTCAGGAACGTGCTTTCGCTCACGGGAGATAACAAGTGTTTTGCGCGAAAATACGTACAACGTATAATTGTTGCGAAGTGAAAAAGAGTTTCTACTTAATTAATTTAAGACGACAACGCGGATTTACGAAAAGGCACGTGCGTTCGATCGCAACAGCGCCTATCGAGTGTAAGATGCACGTTCTTCGAAACGCGTTTGAGAGAGTTATTTAATACGCTATTAACACCGCAACTTTTTTATTAGATCGTCGTGTTGCTCAATGTCAAACAAGATGTCAAAGTAGATGTTGACGGAGGTATGTTGCGGTGGGGACACGGCGATGTGTTTATTTTCGAATTGACGTGTTGTTTTAAATTACGAGCGAACGTGTAAATCTGCGAGTAACGCTTTAACGTTGACGTATTTCTTCACCGGTTACTCAGTGCAGGAAAAAGAAAGAGTCTTTTTCATTATTTTGCGAGGAAGAGACATTATAAAAATTTTATTTTTGTGTTTATGTATATAAAGAGAGAAAAATGGGAAAATGTACGAATATAAAGGAAATCGAGAATGTTTATCCCGCTCATAACTCTTGGGCATTTGATTTGTTTTTTTACTTATTTGTAAAAAAATATAATATAACATTGTGAAACTTTCATATACTTTATATATGAAAGTTTCACAATATTTCACCGCACAACTGAATTTTTCACACACATGTAGGTCATATGTTTTTATATATATATATATTATGTATTTGTAAATTTATTTTTTGTTTGTTTGTGTGCAAAGGTAGCAAGAGAGGAAGCGAATGGCAATAATTATTAAAACGCTCGGTCAACCGAGAACGGACAGATTGGATAGCGTTGTACAAAATATTAAAATGTGTGTTACGGATATATGTTTCTCTCTCTTGCGGAGAAACTTTATCTCCTTCCTCGTTTTTAACTCATAGTGTCCAATTATACGTATTATGCTAAGTGACATAGTAGTGCCATAAGATAACGAATTTGTACAGACATAAAAAAATTGTCTTCTTATACGGAAGCTTTACGACATAACGGAGACATATATTATATTGCATATATTATATAGTAGATGTGTAACGATAAAGACACACATGTATATTGCGCGACGATTGCGTTTTATATTGGCTCACATTGAGTCGCGCCTGCGAATCATGTACGTATGCAACCACTACTTTTTGCTTTCCCGCTTGCCGTGTATCTGTAATGTTTTTGTTCCAAAAAGTCCTTCTCAACGTACTCATCCTGTGCCAATGAAACACGATAGTAGTTTCAGAGGCAAATATGAATGTAACATTTTTGTTCGGAACTTTTTAGTTTTGGAACTTTTGAGGTGTTTCAGAAAGTTTCACCAATGTCTTCCAAACTATGCAACATTCAGTGATAAACCGAAAAGTTTAATCGCTTTTGTTTTTGCATATATGAATTTATGTACCTTTATAAAAGAAAAGAGAATGTAAAATGTCATATATGTAAAAAAAAAAAAAAAACGCATGTGACATCGCGACGCTGTGAATAGAACGAAGTATCAATGTTAAGGTTGCGTACATTGCAAGTAAAAAACTCTTGTACCAGATGCATTTATTTCTCCGCACTTGTTTGAAATACAAACATTTTTTTATTGTCCTTGGGAGCACATGTTTTATTTAATTGTTTTATTTATTATATATTTATATTTTGGATACATTTTATATGTCTATTTAATTGTTACAGTTAATAATTCGCTGACTGAACGCAGTATACAATTCGGAAGACGTCACATCACGATGTACCACACACTTGTTGTACCATAAGTATGTGTGCAGGGTGGCTAAATCGAAAAATATAACAAATTAATGATTTAATATTCTTCTCGTAGAGTTGTACAACTCTATTAAATTTCACATCTCTCGATTTGCGTACCGATACTTTTCTACAAATTGGCTCCGAATCTTTCGATCTGACTGATAACGTAATCCATAGACGCTTCTGTAGGTGGCGGCTCGCAGCTCACAACCATGCGAAAGAAATTCACAAGAAGATTCGGCAAAGGTGTATAACCGATCATAAGAGATCCATCTAAAACCATGCTCTCTTTTATCTTGGTGGTGACGCGCGATATATCGCGCCACCAGATCGGAGTCTCTTCCTGTCCACGCATGCTCGGAGGTATGTACCTGAAAAACAAGAATTCGTTGTGAGTATCGCGAATTCTTGCGGCATCGCGGAATCGCTTACCAAAAACAAACGTTGTTGCACTCGTATTCAGACAGAACCGGTCGAAAACCAGGAGTCTCTTTAATTCGTTTCAGAAAGTATTCGGCGCAATACATTGCCTTCTCCACCGATTGCTCGAAGCCGCTCGTGCCGCGAGCTTTCCACATTAACCAAAATTTCATTGCGTCTACCTTTGGGCACAGTAATTAAGTATGAAAAACAGAACAAAAGCAGCGATCGTACACAGCAACGTTTTTTTTTTTTTTTTTTTTTTTTGACATCTAAACGTTGTTTTTAAAAAGATTTTTTGACTCGTAGATTAGAAAGTCAAAGATCTTGATGCTCGAGGTTGCATGCTGCGAGTTTTCGAGAAACGTGTACGATATCAGAAGCAAGTACCTTCCTACCGCACTGTACGCTTTTATCACCCACGTCCCAGGTCACGTCGTAAAATTTGTCCTGCTGGAAAAGATACTTAGCTTTCACGGAGTTTACCGTGTCCAACGCGGCCTTGTGTTTGACAAGAAACAGAGAACATTGTAACGGTACTCCGAGCATCTTGTGTGGATTCCAAGCTAGCGAGTCCGATCTGAGCCAGCCGCGTTATAAAACAGTCAGAAATAAATACTCATTTGTCAATCAATCATTGTTTTTCTCAACGGTAGCAATAAAATAAAAATAACTAATTACGAACAATGCAATGCCTAGCAATCGATGCTGATATTTTTTCGAAAATATCACGGAACCACCGAGACAGGCCTGGAACAAAATATGTTGAATCACAATCCGAACAAATCTCGAAGTTCATTTCGAACGGAAAACAATTCCGACCAAACAATATGTTCATACGAACGTCTACGTGAAACCAGAGTTCTTCTTCTTGACAGATCGCGTAAATTTCTTCCAACGGGTCGATGGCGCCGAGCACCGTACTACCGCAGGTAGCGTTCACGAAAAACGGTAGTTTATTTTCATCTCTCGACTTTTTCACGAGTCGTCTCAGATCATTCGGTTTCATGCGACCGTACTCGTCTGTCTGCACCTGCAATCGTGCAATCGCGAGATTTAACAATTGCGTTTTGTTTACTAGATAATATTATGTGATTATTGTCTTAAAACTTCGGTTAGTACTTCACGTCAGTTAGTTTTACAGCTGAGACGTCGCGATGAGAAACTGATTGCAAGACCTTGTTCTATTTATTGCACGCGAAATCAAAATAATCGCGTTGACTGATTATTATTTATCATTTAATGGTGTCAGACAATCCACGAAGTAGAGATCATATGACACATTTTCTACACACGCGTACCTTGTAAACGTTGTTAACGCCCAAGCCGAGCCAATGGGCAGCTTTTACGATTGAGTAGTGACCTTGCTCGCTGGTGAAACACACTAATTGAGGTGATTCACGCAAACCCAGCTCCTTGACATTCGGTGTTTTCCTGAATCTAGCCATCACCATCCCGTACATGTTGGACAAACTACCGCCCGGATTCAAAATACCGTCGCTATTGTCGGCCGGATAGCCGAACAGCTCCGCCGATTTTCGTATAATTTCCATCTCCATCAGAGTAAATACGGGAGCAACCTCGTAAGTATATCTGACAAAAATATTTGCGTAAATGTAATATACTTTATTAATTAAATGCTTTACTTTATTTTGAAAATATGACATCGAGCATAATTTTACTCTCTTTGTTGAATTTATTGTGCAATTCATTCAACACATTCGCAGATTCTTACATGCTGGTGTTCAAGACGTCTGTTAGCCAGGAACCGATTAAACCGTATTTATCAATGCCAGCGTAGAGTTGATTGTGAAAATGTGGACTTGATGTTTTCACGGAGTATCTTATGGTCTGTCGTATTGCTCTCTCGATTTCCTCGTCGCTCGCTGATTCCTCGTGCAACGAAATTGGAATTTCTTTCTGTGTAAAAATTGATAGAGATTTGAGGAAAACAGATAAATGTTTTTCTAAACTTAATGAAGAGACTTCTCACACAGATATCAGTTTATATAAATAAAAACTTTATACGAAGATATTTCTCTCTAGTATTTAATAATATTTTAATCGCATAATTTACTTGCCAAATAAAAAACTGTTCATATTACGTAAACAAAATTAATAAAAACAACACAATCTTATTGTTAACATTTGACCGATCGGCCGTCTTTGAAATTAGGTTGCGACGCAACACTATCGGCTGAAAATTTATTACTCGGTTTTTAACTACTAATAAACGTCAGTCTTACATTATCTAGAACTCTTGCAATTAAATAAAATAGAAAAAACTATTAATTTAGATATACGTAAACTGTTTATTATTCTCTGACATTTTATTCTGATTAAACAAGGAATTTCTTGAGAAAGAATAACATTTTGTATGTCAAATGTCTTATAATATATGTATAGAGTTTAACAATCTGTTAGGCAAATTAGGTGCGACTAATATGACCTATCAAAATTCTTTGATACTGCCACAAAAATCCTACTGGTAAACATGTCAAAAGCAATCATGTGAAATATTTCCGTGTCTTATCACCTCTTTTAAGACTTCGGTAAAAATGTGATTTTTAAACCAGTGCTTTTTATATGACTGGTATCTTTATATAACTGGTTTGATCTTCGATTTATATTTATTCGATAGTACTATATTATATATATATATAAACAAACATATTTATAACATATTTATATAAAAAAAATATTTATATGAGAAAGAGAGAGAGAGAGAGAAAGAGAACAGAAAAAAAATTTTACAAGTTTCTATACAAAATAAAATTGTTATTTACATGTAATTCTGAAGGATGAAGAAATCGCACGACAGGATGATGCGCATTTTGATCAAAAACTTGTTCCTCTTTGAGAATCTTCAAGAATCTTTCTAGTAACTCGATTGTGTCGTTAATGCCTGGCTCATCCATTGTGAACAATACACTGACTTTGAGTCTGGTCAGAACAAAGCGAGCGTGTCCAGCGAATGACCGATCGCTACTAAACGATCTATCGAATACCATATTCGTCTCGCTTGCTGGACTCCCTCCCCATTTGCAACGCATGAGATTCGCTCTTTGGTGTTTCGATGTATTCACTGTGTGTCGATACTGAAAATCTACAGTGCATGGTAACGATAAACTATGGACTTTCAGTAGTGGCGAAGATTGTCGGAACGCGCAGTCAAAAAGATTCGCTAACGATTACGCGCTTACACGCGTCAGTCTGTCTTTATTGTTCCTTCAATACAGAAGAACGCATTCTTGATTTTTGCAGATTTTCAAATTGCGTCGTACAACCATTAATCTCGATGATGATTATTGTGTGCGAAGTTCACGCACACAATGTATGCGTGAACCATGTTATCTCCCTCGGCCATCAGTTTACGCTCGAATTGCAACGCTACTACCTTGTACTTTCTGCTTCTCTGCAAGATTCAAGTATTGATTTACGACGTCGAGAAATTCTGTGTGAACGTTTGTATGTATGTACATCCAAAAGAAAAATAAATATTTTTAAATTTTATTTTACATCACGAGCTTTCACTTTTGCTATTATAATTTTTTTTAATTATTACAGAGAGATAAGATTTTTTATAGACACATTTATCTCTCGCATTTATACTTGTATCAAAAGGAAGATAAGACATAACGTCGATTTCATTATCATTTATTGAAGAGTAATTAATCAATTGCGAGTGTAAATGTGCGCAATATTTCATACTTCGTAGTGCACATTCTTGTTTGATCTATGTGCATTTAATACTTCAGATACATTGTGTGATGAGCAAGGAATGTGGGATCGTATCAATCAACTCAAGGTAAAAAAACAGCAATAAAACAGCAATTAAATGTATTAAATGTATTTTGGATGTATAATATTTTTGCTTTTTGTTTACAAAAATATACAACACATCATATTAAAAAAAAATGTTAACACTTGTAAATATGGACTTGAATGTTTGCTTCCTTAATTTTTAAACCAAGTACATTTACTTTTTTGTCCATAATTATGTTATATTTATTTATACAAGATTTATTTATTAAAAATAAAAAAATAAATATAACAATAATTTTTCAAAGTTCAAAATAAAAATTAGATAAGCATTTTGAGATATCAAGTGTGTGAATTTTTAAAAATGTAAATACTTTTGTAACAATGTTGTTAGTTATTATAAGCTAGTTTTTGCTTGTCGTCAGGGACCCTGAAACTGTCTGATTGATCCAAAAAAGATATGTAGATACCCGTGAGTACACAGTCGGAAGGCCACTTTTAAGCAGTGGTCCGCATATGAACGGAAATGTTGCGATTCCAATAATTCGATTTCGCGTATCGACCAATGGAAAGCCCGCACTACCCTATAAAAGACGACGTAAAATGTTTCTTATATTACAAGAAAAAAAGAAAAATGATTTGACGCATGCATTTAGTTCTCGAGTAAATAATTTTAAAAAAATTCAAATCTCGAATAAATATTATACAACTTGGAATAAGTGATGGAATTTTACTCTTTCACAATTTTCTTTCTCGTTTATTATTAATCCTTTTTTTGCTGTATTGCTGTATCTCTCATAATTGATCACTTCACTTTTTCTGATTTAATATGTATAATATTTAATGTTTCGTTTTTTGTTATGCCAAAAACTACTAAATACATAATACGTATAGATTTCTTTCATAGAAAAAAGAATAATTGGAAAATACGAGCAAAAGGTGTAAAACACTTTTTAACTTACGACGCAGCTTCCTAAACTCGTATTACGTGCGCAGACATAAACTTCGGTAATATGACACCCAAAGCGTTCATACTCGCTATTGCAAATTTTTTGGCCGACTATATTCAATTTGTTGTGTAACAAATTTACCCGATTGAAGACCTGTTCAACGATCATAAAGTTGATCACAGTAAATGCACTGTAAGTACAATGTGCAAAATTAATTAAGCTGTATTTAAGGCTTACCGTTCCTCTACCAAATGAGAAAACTGTCACTGGCCTTTCATTCTTGATATGTTCATCCGGTGTGGGCATAATTCCATATATTTTACCTGAGTGTTCGAGAATTGGCGATGACAGCTAAAGAATAGAATTTTGCATCAATGTTTTACATGATGAACACAGTAACAATGATAATAAAATTTGAAGAAAAACCGTTCAAAAAGTTTACTTTGATTAATGCGATGTCGAACCATTCTAATTTAGGTAGATACTCTGGGTGTATAATTATTTCTGTAATAGTGTAACTATATTTTTCGTCATATGCTGACGTGAGGAATACTTTTAACCGACGAGGATCTAGACGGTAACTAAAGTAGATAAAATTTACATGTGTTATAAATAATATAGCGCATCTTTTAAATTTTATGTGCTACTTCACAATATTGTCTAATTCGATTTAAAAACACTTACGTGAAAACACATTTGGTAGCAGTAATAACGTAATTAGGATGAAACAAAGCTCCGCCGCAGATAAAAGCTTTTTTAAGATTTTCTTGTAAGAGAACCTGTAAGTTAACATTTTATTTCACTATTACTGCCAAAGTAATTAGTATCTGACACATATAAAATTTTGAGTTACAAACAATGAAGATCATGTCCTACATGTAGAACATGATCTGTGATACAAGATAGAAATCTTATCGCACTATGGAACTAAAGTATTATTACATATTTACCTGAGTTACAGTTGTATCAGTCGGTATTTTCTCGGTCTTAACAAGTGAATCTGCTATAATAATAATTTATACATATAAGCCCGTTGAGTTTATAATACTTTGTCACAAAAAGTTTATTTATTTCACGATATTATAGCTTAAGGTTAAACGTCACAATATTCTGCTTGATTATGCGTATAAATTTAGTTATTACAATTGAGTTATCTATTAATACTTGTCTATGTAGTAATATTTTCATTATCAGTTATCAGTATCTGGTTTTTTTTTTTTTTTGTATTAATAAATCCAGTTTCTTGTATATTTATTCTTGCAATTTATTTCAAAATTTTTACCGTTAAGTATTTCCTATCTTTTACTTTGTGTGCATGTGCGAGTTTTTTAATATAACGAATAATTTGTTTTTTGTAACCTGTTCTTATACCAGATTTACATTACACGTATGGACAATTTTTTGTTTGTACAAATTATGATTATCTAGTAAAAGACACTCTAAGAGTACTTTGTCCTAAACATGTACAAAGCATTTACTTCTATTTGTTGTTGAAAATTATATTGCAATGTATATAATATTGTATGTACGTAATTTCTATAATTATTTTTGTTTTTAATTATCACGTTTTATACTTACTGAAACCCTGAGTAATGAATATGAGACCACCAACAAGTAAACTTGAAGAAAACATCTCGCGAATATTAAACACTGTTGGGCAAAGAGTAATTTTATATTATGTACATGTGTAACGCATGTGAGACAAAACACAGAATACGACTTGGAGCACAAATACATTGAGTAACTAAACCGATTAAACTCAGCTATCAAAATAGATTACATACGTAATCATTATTGATTTTAAAAGTGTGTTACTGATGTGTTTTATATATTTCTTTCTTGTTGTTAAAGTGAATGCGATGGCGTTACGCAAGCGGAAAATCTTGAAGTTTAGACATTGTCTTTCTTTAATTGTGACATTAAAAATCAAGAAAGAAATCTTCACGTAGAATATATATCAAAGCTTTAAGAATAAAGTTCTAAGAAAACGAATATATGTTTTTTTGGCACTACTAGTTTATCATTTGTTATATGCGTTTGACGATCTCGTTACATTCCGCGCAAGCGTATTCATATTACAGTTACATGCATTTTGTCTTTTTCCGTTTGATTTTGAGATTTTTTAAAATACTTTATAAAAAACTTTAAGTACATTATTCTATTCCACTAGTGTTTAGAAGAAGATCATATGTGAGTACACAGTTTGACACATTATCGAAATATCACAAGTCAAGTGAAATTATCTTTTAGAATTTTAAACTTTACTAAAAGACAGAATTCGCTAGACAAAAGTTTTTTGTTTTTCGTTTTACTTCACTTTGCGCCGAAATATATACCACGCACAATTTTATCAGAATTTTACTTTTCTTTCATGTCGGGATATAACAGAGTATCTATAGAAGTGTACGCTTCGAGTGTCGACTGCGAATTGTTCGGTTTGCCGTGTAACGCTTTTCGGTGTCGAAATCTCTTCTTAATTTTTCAGTGATTGTCTGAGATTCAACCAATAGGAATCGATATTCGTATTTCCATCGGTACTGCTTATGATGTTTACGATTTTTTCAAATATTAAGAAGGAAAGGTAACTTTGAATCACGTGATTATCACATCGTTCTTCGCCGTTTATTACGTTCTGTGCTTAGCCACGCAATTCTGTTGTAAGCCACTCCATATAAATAATACTTTTAATACGTGTAAAATTAAAGTAACAACTATTATTTTATGACAATTAATTTACAGGTATTCTTTTAATATAAAGAAAAAAAATATATTTCTAAAATTGTTTTGAGAGTAATTTTCCTTTTTTGTACATTAAATGTACAATTTAAACTTATTATATTTATTACTTTTACGCAATATAAATATGTCGACATACATAAAATACACCGAAAAGTTTTTAAATATAATAATATTACAAAAGGATCGATAGAAAGATACATGATAATGTGTAATATTTCTAATTTTGCAGAACAGCATACTTTTATTTTATTTGATATGATTAATAATGTTGTGTTTTATGTCTATAATAATAGTATCAGTTACAAACTATCTTATATTTGCAAAAAGAGAAAATGTTTGTTTTGTATCAAATATAATAACGTGTAATATAAACGTAGCATAAAATTATTTTTGAGTATTAGAAGAAAATAGTTATTGTTATTTAAAATTGTCGTGTGTTCATCAAATCAATACGTCTTATACGTATAGAATATCTTATGTTACTTGGCCGCATACAACGAAGCGATAATCCAAGAATCTCAAGGTATCTGTTTCACGAAGAAACGCTAAGTTTCGAAGAATTTTTGGGAAGTCAAACATAGTAATAATTAGCCGTCAGTTATATATTCAGAATCTCCGCCACCAGCTAATATTATTAATGTTATTGTATAATATGTATATCAAATTACTTTTTTTTTTTCTATAAAATGAAGACTTTCACATCTGCAAATTCAAAGATGTGCGATCTTATGTAACTGCATACACGCTAAAATATGCGTCTGATCTATGTGCATTTAATACTTCAGATACACTGTGTGATGTGTAAGGAATGTGGGATCGTATCAATCAATTCAAGATATATAACAGCAATTAAATATATTTCGCATTTTTCTTGTTATATCTAGTGAAAAGTACAAATATAATGTTAATATTGGCATAACAAAAGGTGACATTTTGGAAATTTATCACCGTATATTTTAATGATTATTCCAACAATACGTTGGAATATTTTGTATTTTATATACATAACTTATTTTAAACTCTGAAACGCTTATTCTAATTCGTTATCTTAAAAACACTATTTTTTGATTTTTGTTTGCAAACATATACGACACAAAGTACTAAAGAAAAAAGATGTCAAAACTTATAAATATTAACTTGAATGTTTGCTTCCTTAATTTCTAAAACAATTACATTTACTTTGTTCATAATTATTTTATATTTATTTATGCAAGATTTATTTATTAAAAATAAAAAAATAAATATAACAATAATTTCTTAAAGTTAAAAATAAAAATTAGATAAGCGTATTGAGGAGTCAAGCGTGTGAATTTTTACAAATGTACTTTTGTAATTTCGTTAGTATTCATAACCTATTGGTGGTATGTCGTCGGTGTATTAAGAAAAACTGTCAAATAGATCCAATAAAAATATGAAGATACCCGGATGTACACACTCGGGAGATTACTTTTAGGCAGTGGTCCACACCTAAACGGAAATGTTGCGATTCCAATAAATCGATTTTGCATATCGACCAATGGAAAGCCCACACTACCCTGTAAAAGAAGACGTAAAATATTTCTTAAGTGACAAAAAAAAAAGAAAATGATTTGTGCGTGCATTTAGTTCTCGAGTAAATAATTAAAAAAAAAAAAAAATTAAAATTACGAATAAATTATACAACTTGAAATAAGTGATGGAATTTTACTCTATCACAATTTTCTTTTTCATTTATTATTAATCCTTTATTTGCTGCATTGCTGTATCTCTCATAATTGATAACTTCACTTTTTCTAATGTAATATGTCTAATTTAATATTTAGTGTCTAGTTTTTTAGTATGCCAAAAACCACTAAATGTATGTAACGCGTATTTTTTCTCATAAACAAAAGACTAATTTGACAATACAAGCGGAAGTTGTAAAACACTTTTTAACTTACGATGCAGCTTCCTAAACTCGCATTACGTGCGCAGACATAATTTTGGGTAATAAGAAACCCAAAGCGTTCATACTCGCTTTTGCAAATTCTCCAACTGACTATATTCAATTTGTTGTGTAACAATTGTACCTGATTGAAGATCTGTTGAACGATCATAAAGTTGATCACAGTAAATGCACTGTAAGTACAATGTGCAAAATTAATTAAGCTCTAATTAAGGCTTACCAATCTTTTACCAAATGAGACAACTGTCACTGGCCTTCCATTCATGATATTTTCATCCGGTTCAGGCATAATTCCATATAGAATACCTGAGCCTTTAGGAACTGGCGATGACAGCTAAAGAATAGAATTTTGCATCAATGTTTTACGTGATGAGAAGTGGTAATAAAATTTGAAAAAAAACCTTTCCTATAGGTTACTTTGATCAATGCGATGTCATGCATCCCGCTAGTGTATTCATAGTATGGATGTATAATTATTTTTTGAATAGTATAATTATATTTTTTGTCATATAATGGCGTGTCAAAGAATACACTTAACTGATGAGGATGGTAACTAAAGTAGATACAATTTACATGTGTTATAAATAATACAGCGCATCTTTTAAATTTTCTGTGCTACTTCACGGTATTGTCTATTTCGATTTAAAAATCACTTACTGTAAAACACATTGGGAAGCGGTAATAACGTAATAAGGGTGAAACAAAGCTCCGCCGCAGATAGAGGTGTTAAAACGATTTTCTCGTAAAAGAACCTGTAAGTTAACATTTTATTTTACTATTACTGCCGAAGTAATAATTATTATCTAAAACGTATAAACGTTGATGTACAAAAAATGAAGATCATGTAAGTCAAACACGATCTGAGATACAAGACAGATATTTTATTGCAACATGAAACTAAAGCATTGTTAGATTTTTACCTGAGTCACAGTTGTACCGGCCAGTATCTTTTTGTCTTCAGCAACTGAATCTGCTGTAATATTAATTTATACATATAAACTCGTTAACTTTATAAACGTTGCCACGAGGAGTCCACTTATTTCACGATATTATAGTTTAAGGTGATACGTCACAAAACTATATTGCTTCATTATGCATATAAATTTAGTTAGTACAATTGAGTTATCTATCAATACTTGTCTATCTAGTAATATTATCATTATCAATTATCAGTATCTAGTTTTTTTTTGTATATTAATGAATTCAGTTTTTTGCATAATTATTTTTATTTCAAAATGTGTATCGCTGTATATTTCCTATCTTTTACTTTGTGTGCATGTGCGAGATTTTTAATATATCAAATAGTTTGTCTTTTTTAACCTGTTTTTACACCTGATTTACATTACGTATTGACAATTTTCTGTTTGTACAAATTATGATTATCTAGTAAAACACATTTTAACAGAACTTTGTCCTAAACATGTACAAAGCATTTACTTCTATTTGTTGTTGAAAAGTATATTGCAATTTATATAATATTGTACGTACGTAATTTCTATAATTACTTTTGTTTTTAATTATCACGTTTTATACTTACTGAGACCCTGAGTAATGGATATGAGACCAACAACAAGTAAACTTGAAGAAAACATGTTGCGAATATTAAGCACTGTTGGACAGAGAATACCTACTGTTATATTATGTACATGTAACGCATATGAGACAAAAAACAAAATACGCTTTCGAGCACAATTACATCGAGTAACTATTACACCGATTAACCTCAGTTATCAAAATAGATTACATACGTAATCATTATTGATTCTAAAAGTGTCTTACTGATGTGATTTACATTTTTACTTTTTTTAAGTGAATGCGATAGCGTTCACAAGCGCAAAAGCTTGAAGACATTGTCTTTCTTTAATTGAGACGTTAAAAATCAAGATAAAAATCTTCACTTAAAATATGTATCGAAGTTTTAATTTTATAAATAAACGACTGTATGTTTCTCTGACAATATTAATGCATCATTTGTTATATGCGTTTTACGATCTCGTTACATCCCGCGCAAGCGTATTCATATTACAGTTATATGATTTTGTCTTTTTTCGTTTGATTTTGAAAGTTTTTAAAATTTACTTTATAAAACACTTCAAGTACATTATTTTATTCCACTAGTGTTAATAATATTATATATGAGCACACAGTTAGACACATTATTGAAATATCATGAGTCAAGTAAAATTACCTTTTAGGACTACAATCTTTTCTAAAAGACAGGATCGCTAAACAAGTGCTATTTATGTCTTTTTCGTTTTACTTCGCTTTGCACCGAAATATACCACGCACGATTTTACCAGAATTTTACTTTTGTATTTTACTTTTCTTCCATGTCGGGATATAACAGGGAACCTATAGAAGTGTACGCTTCGAGTGTCGACTGCGAATTGTTCGGTTTGCGGTGTAACGCTTTTTGGTGTCGAAATCGCTTCTTAATTTTTCAGTGATTGTCTGAGATTCAACCAATAGGAATCGATATTCGTATTTCCATCGGTACTGCTTATGATGTTTACGATTTTTTCAAATATTAAGAAGGAAAGGTAACTTTGAATCACGTGATTATCACATAGTTCTTCGCCGTTTATTACGTTCTGTGTTTAGCCACGCAATTCTGTTGTGAGCCACTCCATATAAATAATACTTTTAATACGTGTAAAATTAAAGTAACAACTGTTATTTTATGACAATTAATTTACAGGTATTCTTTTAATATAAAGAAAAGAAATATATTTCTAAAATTGTTTTGAGAGTAATTTTCCTTTTTTGTACATTAAATGTACAATTTAAACTTATTATAATTATTACTTTTACGCAATATAAATATGTCGACATACATAAAATACACCGAAAAGTTTTTAAATATGATAATATTACAAAAGGATCGATAGAAAGATACATGATAATGTGTAATATTTCTAATTTTGCAGAACAGCATACTTTTATTTTATTTGATATAACTTATAATGTTAATGTTAATGTGTGTTTTATGTCTATAATAATAGTCTTAGTTACAAACTATTTTATATTTGCAAAAAGATAAAATGTTTGTTTTGTATCAAATATGATAACGTGTACGATTTGTAGAATTAATATTTGCAGGAAAAGATAAGTTTCAAATGTTCGTTTTGTTTCTACAAATTGGTCGCGTTTGAACACATGAACAAAATGTACATATTGTACAGTAAAAATATTTTTTTTTTTAAATCGGTGCTTGTTCATTACATAACAAGTTTAGTTTTTAATTTATATATTTGATTATATTATATATATATATATATATATAATTTAAGAGGGGAAGAGAAAAGGGAAGAAGTAAAGAAAGAAAACTTTTTGAGCTTATATTTACATCATCATATAGAAGTATATTTATATCGTCGCACGTCAGGAAATATAAATTATAATATTTATAAATTTGTTTCTAATTAAATGTATATAAATATTATAAATAGTACATATATATATATAAATGTATATATTACATATTATAGATTTTAAAATTACACAACAGCTACATCTTATCATAGATAATGTCATCAAGAATGAATTTGATCAACATTCGTCATCGTAACGGTATTCTAACATCTTCTAGTATCACAGTCTATCTTTTCTTGGCTATTTTTCCATTCTGTATAATTTAATATGTTCAGGAATAACGTAGGATAGAGTACGCCTGATATTCTTCCTTCCAAACTTGCTGCAATGCCGATTAAATTCAAATGCAGACCGTCTACCATTGGACCGCCCACATCACTCTGTGAAAAAACAAAATGTTTGTGTTGTGCTAAAACAAAGTGATTTGCATACTCAAAAATATTAGTGAGTTTATCCATTTTTTATAACTTACAATACGATGTTCGCTGGAATTATCCGATTCGTTTACACAAATATGTGCACTTGAGATATTATATTGAATACTTTGGTACAGTTCTTTGCAAAAGATCCAGTTGAATATATAATTATAACTTTTCGTTAATTAGACAAATATTGGTACTTTCTCCTTCTGTAATTTAAAAGAAGCGAACTTGAATCTAAGTCATATTAAATGAGATAAAAATATGTTTCGCAAAGTTGCTTATTTTTTGTACTTACCGATATTATACCATTCGGATAATCTAACTGGTTGTTGTTGTAATATTGTTGTCCTGCATCTATATTGTCATTTACGTTGATGTGAACACACTCGCTATTTCAAGTAGTCCGTTGTAACTGAAAAAAATAAAAATACATATTAGAATTTGAAAGTAATGAAAAACATATTAGAGATTGAAAAAAGAAGTACGAATAAATTTTCTTACACTTTAAGCGGCAATGTTATGCTGCTAATGAACAACGGTAATATTATAGTCACGGAGAATACAAAAAAAACGAGACGAATCATATATTTTTCGATTCTAAGGGATGAATTATGCTTTTCATCGCTTTCCATACGAACAACAATTTTCGCATATATATTCTTAAAGCGTCGGCTGTAAGTAAAAATGATAATATTCTTATGATGATTAAGCTATATTATTTACTAATTTTGAAAGTTCTTACTGTTCCAATCTCACACATTCAGCAGGTTTTATTTTAAATTGTGAGGATATCAAGTACTCGGTACAAACAGAGTTTGATCCATTATTCTGCAAGAGAGTCAGAGTTAAAAGTAGTTTTCGAAAATTAGCTGAGATCATTAGCTGATACGTACTTAAACTTTGATTTCTGAATATCAAAAATTCATAAAGAACTCAAGCATCTTTTGTACACGACATCTTATTCCGAATAAAGAAGCATTATTTCGTCTTACCTCATACATTATATCATCTGTTATTTCTGTCTCATTGCTGTCGGTGTTGAAAAAATAATTTTGAAAACTAAAGTTATCTGTTGACAGAAGAATATGTAATGTAAAAATATATAAGTGCAAAAAATTTTGCTTTTGAGATGTTTCAATACCTATACAATAGTTTTATGCATATCTGTTTTATATTTTTTATAGTGGGAGTATCAGTTTCTATATAATTTCTCGTATTTAATATATCAGATTTTCTTTTTATTTTTAAAATCAGTATTGTATAGTTAATAATTTTTTATTTTGTGTGAGATTTTTTAATATAAAAAATAATTTTTTCTCCTTTAAGTACATTATTTATTGACAAATCTTGGTTGAGTATCTGAATTTGTTCACTTAAAAAGTTTAAATCAATGATTTTAAACATAATAAAAACTTTATAAAAACACATAAAACCTTTGTTTCATTGAAAAGTATACGAGGATATATGTTTTATATTAATGTATATGTCATTTCTACTACTGTTCTCCGATGGTAAGTTGATTGCCAGAACGACACAGAGGCAAGAAGAATAAATCGTTTGCTCCACTTATTTCTCTATTTCTCACTTATTGACGCTCACAAAAGTTCCTAGTTAGGCTGCATCAGGGAAAGCGCGGCAACGTATTTTGCTACGACCAATGAGACACGACTGCCAACTTACCAGCGGAAAAAACAGTACATATATGATATTTCTCTTTGTTTAACTAACAAACAGTTTTACTTACCCGGAATAGTCTTATATGCCACAAAAGTAGATAAAGAAACTAGAGCAAAAATCAAAATTGGAGACATTTTGATAACAATAAGCACTGTTGGAAAAAAAGCAAGTTTTTATGTTTAATTTTGTTTTGGCGTAAATACATTTCAATTAAATATTGCATCGCATTTATTAAATATTGCATATTTGTCGTTATAAAAGAAAAGTGCGTTATTAAACAATAGATATTCTAAATAATATTATTAAAGTCTTTTTCGAGTGAATTGCAAAAATTAAATTTTGAAAAATATTGCCACACAATAAAATGTTAATATTTATATTTAAAAAAATATTTCTTCTTCTTACGTACATTTTTTATCACTTTTAAATCACTTTTATATCTGTAATATAGGCTTATCAATTACACTTTAACATTTACTTTTATTCCATGAATTTCCGATAAGCGATAGATGTAGATGTAGCGAAGTGTATACTTCGGCGTCTGACGCACGACTTATTCGTATCGCGGTGAAACGCTTTTCGATGTAGGAATCCGCCTGCTAGTTTGTGTATCATTTCTGAGATTCAACACGCCAATAGGATATCGATATTCGGTTTGGTCTCACATATAATAACATGTTTGCGATCTTTATGTGTAATAATAATAAGAAACGATAAGTTTGAAATGTTCGTTTCGTGTTTAGTAGAATCGTTCACGTTTATACACAAGGACCAATTTACATATATGTATATATGGTAAAGTTAAAATGGATTTTCCCACAAATTTGAAGCAAATTGGTGATCCAAACGTCTGAGTCTTTTTTAAAGCGAATTTTATTCAACAATAATACCTCACGATTTCAAAACGTAGCGAACGGAAATAACGAAATGCGATTGTAGGAGAGATCCAGGAAAGACTAGTGCTTATGAAAAGTTTCTTCGGCAGAATGATATTTGTTCACTGACAAATCGCTATATAAATAAATAAAATGACAAACATGTATCAACTTATATATGTATATGTATGTAAAATGTTTTTATATATTTTACAATGACATGTTTTGTGGCAAAGTGTTTTAATTTTAAATCGTGTCATAATTCGAAAAAAATAATACTCAAAATGCAATTACACTGATAAGTCGCCAGTAGTTACTTGTGGCAGCTCACGTGATACAAGCGTAAGATTGCAATGTTCGTTTTTATGTCGTACAAGAAGAGAAGAGCGATTGGTTTATAATGAATTCTCGAAGAGATTTCGATCATGTCAGGAGCGATTCGGATCAGATGATATATCGTAAACAATGGTGCGTTGTATTGAAGCTGCGGCTTGCACATGAACCCGTCGTTCTTCATCGTCTCGCAAGAGTGCATCCTTTTATTATCTTGGACATTGATTTAGAATCTTCTTTGTAAACTCGTTACAAAGAAGATCGACAGACAATTGCAACCCGTGCATACAAATTACATTGTATTATAGTCTATATCTTTCATATACACGCGATGTGTATATATGATGACGAATTATTGATAGTTATCAAAGATATAGAAGCTATTTGTTAGTACCTCAAAATACTTTACCAAAAACAATTTACAAATTTTTATATATTTATGTGTGTAAAATAGTGAACATTTATATATTGTAAAATATACGTAATAAGTAAATCTAAATCTTTGATTATATATATTTCTGCTTGTTAACTATCAACTTTTAATCATTTGGAAGACGAACTGTAAGCTTTTACATTTGTTTTGTACGTGTGGTGTGCGGTAGATTTAAATGCAAAATAAAAATTTAATATTTTATAAGTATAATGTTGCACACAAAATGATGAACAAATTACGTATATTGATTGACAGAGTAATAAAATGATTAAGTTGCAATTTCTTATTGATTAATCCATGTAAGGTAAGAGGCGACACGTACGAACATGACAAGTAAATTTCTATTTTCACCGCGATATCCGGACAGCAATCCAATGAGTGTCCCATTGATAGTTAGTAGTCCACCAGCATGATACTGTATAAAACAGAACATCGTAAACTTTGTATCAAGTGTAATTAAAAATTAACTTTTTGTTTTGTGTATTTTTTGTGACGTTATTGTTTTCCGCTATTTTACACAATGACTTTTATTACAGCGGAAATATATTAAACAAATATATAAATGTATAATTGTGTCATCGAAGGTAAGATACTTTTAAGTCACAATACTTACGATATTACGATTTGAGTCAAAGTAAAATAGATCTCTGTCTAAAGAATACGCGCAAAGATAAGTGTCGAGCACATCAAGGTTTAAAGAGCCAAACTTATAATACTTTCTACAGCATGTTTGATTGAAGATTCTATAACTTGATATTCCGAAAGATGTAACGTCAATTCCTCTCTGTAATTTAGAGAAACAATATAATTATTAGCATTAGTAACTGCTGTGTTTTCAAACGATATTATTAGATTTTTTCGATATAATTATGCATTAACATATAATTATATAGTACTAGACAGATTTATTGTTTCTGTAAAGAATCTGTAAAGTAGTCAATACGAATATAGTGGTCAGAACTTACCAAAGGCGTACGCCATCCAAAGAGACGAGTTATGTCGCAATCTTCAACATCGTTGGCTTGTGGCAACTTAGCAAATTTTACGGTGTCAGAGGGCGTGATAGAAGGAGTTACCTACACATTCAAATTTGTAATTTTCTCTCGTTTGTAATCTTCTCTGTAGAAATTGTTCAACAGGTTTGAATAAAAAATTGCGATTTTCCTGCGCGAGTAAGAAAAATTCACTAGTTCTTGCTTACCTTTAGCAAAGCAATATCGTTGGTCAGGATAGGATGATAAGTGAAGTTCTCGTGTATTATAATTTGAACGACATTATGTTTGAATGTAGGTTCAGTTATACTGTCAGCAATACTCAACTCTTCAGGCCTGTATGTAGTTCCGCAACTAAAAAATTACTTTCTCAAAAATCCGTTTAAGCGTGCGATATACAGAGACCATAATCTTAGCAAAACACTATGTGAACAATGAAAAAGTACATCCCGTCGAAAAATACTTTTACGATTGCTTAGCAAAATAGATGTGTATACGCAACAATATGTTTTTTATCTTATGTATGTAGAGAATGTCACGATAAAAGACAATGATATAAGTAACAAAAGTATATAAATATATTATAAATTACGGGAAAATGCAGGTTGCTGTTGTTATAACATGAGTCTCATTCAGAATTGCACCGGTACAAGCATAGTGGTGTTGTTTGTTTTGAATGACAACCTGCGAAAAAAGAGCCAACGTTTTACAGTCGAACTTCGGTAATTTCAAGCGCATTCGCGATTATTTCTTTCAAAAAACAAAGAATTTGATATTATTTTCTTCCTCTTTTAGTTAGCAATCAAATGATAGTAAGAGACGAACAATATATGTTTCGCTTTTTCTTTGTGTTTGATTCTTAGAATAGAGATAGAACTTCTACGAGAGTTGCACTCAAGAATATTGCGGAATCATCAATAGAGAGAGAACAAAAGGATCATATTGGCCCGCTTATAACGGAGAAATTGTAATGCTCGAAATAACTGGAGTTTTATAATTATACACAGAATATCGCGTAAAAAAGTAAAGTATATACATAAAGTTCTTCAACAATGTATACCTCACACGTCATTCCTATTAATTTATCATCTTTATGAATGTATACCTTATAAGACATTCCTAGTAATGTATCGTCTTGTTTTAAGTTTCTTTCAGATATACGATAGTCACAGTAGTCGCATGTGGCATGTGGTTTGAGAGAGTTAGCTGCAAGAACAAAATTTATACAGAAACTGATTTTTTTGAAGTGAAACTTTCGTTAAGCGCGGTAGAGCGAGTTGATTTTGAAGAGTAACGAAAAAGAGAAAATAGACACTTCCGAATAATAGTATGTAAAAAAAAATGTTTATATAAAGAAATTTATTAAAAATAAAATATATTGCTTAAATTAAAATATTTTTTCGTTAAAAAAGAACTCAGAGCAGGTTGATTTTACAAGTTTTATTGTACTTCAAACGCGCGTTGCGGTCACGCACCGATTTTTTTTACAAAATGCAACGAGTAGAGTAATTTTTTCTGTACATGCACGTAATTTATTATAGCAATTTTTATTTTATTGCGTGTATCAATATGTTAGTTGTTACAAACGTGAACAACGAGTACTTGTGTCATTTCTGGGTAAATGTTTATAAAAATGTTTACATTTGTCAAGATTATCACATACCTTGAGAGAACACTAGAAGAGCCAGATAAAACAAAATTGTTAACGCCATTGCTTGATCGTTTGCAACAATCTACTGAAAATTGAATTTTGCAACAGTGAAAATTATATATGCTTTTTCAGTACTCGTCTCTCTGTATGTTTGTCGAGCGTTCGAGGAACGAGATTTATTTTACGGTTATAGATAAAAAGATTTTAAGAATATCGTTATTGCAATAATGGAAACAGAGCAGACTATTAATTAACTTTTGACCTAATTTTATTGAAAATCAACGAAAGTGTTTGTCACGGAAGTATGAGTAAACCTTTAAATTATACGGCACGATTTTATTACTGTTATTAATTATGATATTACCGATTTTATTTTATACCTTTTTTAACAGAAAAATGAGATATGAAACAAAAGATGGATAACACAGTGATGCTTTATACTATAAAATATTATTATTGTGAAAATTACATGTGTATATGCTGATTTTATGTTATAGAAATCGTCAGAGGTGTGTATTCAAACATAGAATTTAAGTTAATTATAACAATGTCACTCACAAAGATGTTACACTTATAACGCTTAGTACTGTGCTATGGTGTACAATGCTTCGACACAAAGTTTGACTCGTAAATGGCTAAAATCTATTCGAGGCGACGTTTATAAAGCTGAAGGAAAAAGTAGGAATTTTACCTTGGTACTGTCAAAAGATAAGCAATTGATTGATCTTCAGTCATAAATATAAATCTATCTGGTCCTTTTCTTGGTAACGGCTTTTAGGAATATCTGTGTTTGATGCGTTAGTTACATTAATCCGCGGATAGTTGAAACGCACTAAGGATAATGTGAGAGTTTGAGATTCTTGGGGTAATGGGTGTCCACCGGTCACATTTCTCGTAACAAAAGTTATAAAAAGTTTCGAAGATATCAGTATTATGTAACTTACAGTTTAAGATTTTCTAAAATAAAATTAATTGCTTTGTCTCAAAATTCGTCTTCGTTATCACATACAGTAACGTGTTTCCTTTAAAAAGTAGCACAAAGAAAGCAGCTCTTCTGCTTTCCGATAGCCAGCGCTGACCGACGTTTCAAGAATACATACGTATTATCAAATGAAATCGTGCATAGTTAAAGCAGATTCTGACTTGTCCGTGCTTGTCGGGCAATTTATCAGAACGAAGTTTTAAGTCTTTTTACCGATTGTAAGCGCCGATGATATTCTGAAATAGTGCAAATGGATATTGATAATGTAATTTCAGCAATTTTTGTAAGATCTTTCATTTGGAACAAAAACATAAAAATCATATCAATAGAAATATAAATGAAAATTGTTGAAAAGAAATAAGTAAAGAAATAATATCCGGTTGAGATCGAGCAATATTCGTAGCTGCAAGACGAGAGAGCGACAAAACTGTGTCTCACTATTAGATATATCGATTTTTTATAGCATATTGTGATATAAACGTCGTAATGATAGACACCGTGCTTTATTTCTGCTGTGTTTCTGTTGTCATAAAACACAAAATTAAGAAGAATGTAAAAAACTCACTAATGTAAATTTCTACATAGCAACAAGATCTGTAAATAAATGGAATCGAATCTGCTGACATACTGCTTATTAATTTGCTATCTGATAAAAATATATTCAAGTGTATTAATTTAAACATTCGTACGTAACCTAAACATTTATGTTACGAGTATGTAATTTTACACGCTGCCAAAACAATTTGATAAATTACGTGTACGATAAGACTTAAAAAAAATTAAGCGTCTGAGCGCGTTACATAATCTGTTTTTATAATCTGGAGTCAAAAGTTACATGTGGTTCGTTATCAATATTTGTGCCAACGTCAGAACAAACATTGTGATTAGAAAATTGATCAAAATTTGCGTATGCATACTATGCGGATGTAATATGACAGAGAAGGTAGACAGTTGCGAGAAATAGAATCAATAGTTGCTCATTATCAATATTTATTTGACGCATCGAGGCATTTACATCGTAATAAATCACATACTCAGTCCATATAGTGACCAATTATCGACATTCCCATGTTATTGTTTTATATATTAAATTCTTGCATATTTCATCACATATATATACGTATATCAAAGAAAATTGCACAAGATAAAATATTTCTTCAAACTCTAAATAAATTTAATAGTCAAGCGCTTAATTCGACGGTTAATAATCTCTCGTTTTCTCTTTCTCTCTTTTATCATTTTTGCCTTCTTTTTTTTTCCGTCCATTTCTGGATAATAAAACTTGAATGATTGTGTATGCGCTGTCAGTGATATTTAAGACAGTCTCACTCCACCGGATCCGGGACATTCACCTTTGCTCTTCATAGCCAATTCTACAACGCAAGTACGTGTGTAATTAATACAATTCGATATATAACACGAAAGATGATTTCTATATATCGACATTTTTGTCACTGTGCATATAACCGTGTAATTATTTTAAAATTAAAATTTTCTTTATCTTTTTTTTTTGTACTTACTCGATCCCATCTCGCAGTTGTAAATATCCAGAGCGCACTGCGTACCAAAGGTTCTCGGCTTGAAGCTGGCGTCAGCGGGATCGTGAGCGCAAACAGGATCGTAATCGTTCCCGCAGTCCCGGGCGCAATCCTTCTTATTTTTCTTCGCTTCCTTGGCGGCTTTGATGGCGTCCTTCACGTCCTTCGACGCGGTCGCCGCTTCCTTGATGTCTTTTGGCTCCTTAACTTCCTTCGCGGTGTCCAGCTTCACGTTGTCAGGAAGCGCGTACGCATCCTCGCAGAACGCGAACATGCTAAGGAATGACAACGCTGAAAGACATTAAAAAAAAAAAAAAAAAAAAAAAAAAAAAAATAAAAGCTGTAATTAAAAAAAGCCTAAAATCTGTGATCCGACATATTCCGCAGAATATTCTCTTTGTNAAGGAATGACAACGCTGAAAGACATTAAAAAAAATTAAAAAAAAAAAAAAAAAAAAAAAAAACCAGAAAGTTAAAAGAGCCAAAATTCCGTGATCCGACATATTCCGCAGAATATTCTCTTTGTGTAATTTAACTTTCGCGTTTAATAAAAACGATCACAAAACTTCGAACAGTATTATTCAATGTGACTACTACTTTCGGGAGAGCAGCTTTTCCGTTCGCGAGTGATGGAAAACGATATTACGTAAATCCAATGAAAGTGGCTTGGCGTCTCGTCTTTGGGAACGATAATCCGCGCGACCTTAATACGCGTCTTTATTGGATGATTGCAACTTTATTGAAATCAAGGTTTATTTTAAATCGAGATCATAGTTCCTCGCACGGCGACTGCGTCGTTCCTTCGCTCAAGGCCGCTGACGCCCACGCCCATTTTAAGAGAGACGTCTCCTTTTCAATCTTTTCAGCGTCTATTCGTTTCCTCGACGAACTTTCGCGAATGAATTGAACGCGGTTGCGCGCTCGAGCGCATGATTTTCTGATATACATAATACCGAGGTTAAACCTGATATATGATCGCAAATAGTAAACCGGATTTTAAATTAATTCACACAAGACTAGAAATGCACTGAATATAAAATTTGCTGTTGTGCTGTTGCTGCTGCTTTAACTTTGATATTCTCGAATAACATTTACTGCGACACATTTTGAAGAAGACGAAGAAGAGATTAACTCGGAATTGTCGTGTATATTTCTGAAAATCTATTTAAATGAAATTAAATTTAAAAAATGTTTGAAAAACTTCAATTAATTTAAAAAATGGACTGTTTAAACAAAGGTGTGATGATATGTTTGTTAATTGCAGCGACGTTTGATTTTTGTATGTTGTGAGAAAAAATCGTTGCTGTTCTCGTTACCGACTACAATTGCTATCTTCATTGTTCCAGCTGTTTTAGAGCTTGAGACTTGGGTGATGATGATTGTCTAGGTACGCGACGAATTGAGAGACTGTCGCGGGAGAACTGACAAATCGTGTCACTATGCTACGTTTATAAAGCATGTGTAGCGATTAAATTAATCCCCACCTGAGAGAGGAGAATTGAGAGCAGCATCATGCCCGGATCATGACTGTCAGGTTTCATGACGCTTCGAGTGTGTGCGGCACCTTTCTTTGGAAATTATTCGTCTATAATAAATAAGCGACAATTTGGCAGCATTTGTTGAAAAATCACTCTCTCACTTACCTGCCAGTAGATCAGAAGATCGGGAAAAGAGATTTAAAAAAATACCAAAACACGTATTTTATATAACAATTATGTAAAGTAGAATTTTATAAAATAAATAAATAAATAAATAAAAAGAGAATACAAATTAAAAGATGACACACGAGATGATGATGAAGTTTAACAACAACGTAAAAAACCTCTCACTGCTCTTTCTCTCTTTTCGCGAATTCGCTCTCTTCCTTCGCGTAGTTCTTGAATAAATTTACGTAATGATCCCAAGATTCGTGATGAGCGAGCGTTTCGGCGATTTGACACGCGAGCGTCGCGCACTTTCTCGACGAGCGAGTATCGTTTTGCATCCTCTCGTACTTCTCCACGGAGTTTCCGACTATCGCTTCAAGATTACGCAGTGTCTCCGAAGTGGCGTAAGCTGCAAAAAAAAAAAAAAATACAAAACGTCTTTTGTTGCCAACGAGATAAGAAGATAATAACCCCCCACCCGTTAACGTCACAAATGTTCTGGATTGAAAGCCTCATTCTCTAAATTTGTCGCGGAAATTATTCATCATGAAAATTAAAGTCGGTAGTTTCAGGAACTACGTTTTGCGCGGCAACTTCACGTGCGTTATGAAAAAAAAAAAAAACAAGACTTACGCGACGAAAACCCACGTTCCTCCTCCTCGTCGTCCTTGTTAGTGACTTTTTTCTTGATGATCTCGAGTTTGGGTATGAAGAGCAGCAGGCAGATCACCGCGATGAACTTCACGATCATCTTGAAGATCACTAATTTCAGAATGATCTTTGCGATGGTGAACGCGTTAAGTTTGAGCGCGAACGGTAAGCCCAGATCGAAGCTCGGCAATATGGAAATGTGAGACACGTCTGAGAGTGCGTAAGGTGCCCCGTAAGCCGGATGTGGGATGGAATTGTGTATGGAGGGACCGTATTCTGCAAAATTAAACAATATATAAGTCACGGCAATTAAAAGAAAAAAATACTTACTTCACTCACCTTGTTGAGGCGGAGGATAAGAATTACCGGACGATCCGTACGAAGGCCCGTACGAATTCTGCGGCGGTCCGTACGAATTCTGCGACGGTCCGTACGCATTTTGCGGCGGTCCGTACGAATTCTGCGGAACGCCACCGTAGTCTGTCGACGGCTTGTAAGACTGGGAATAAGAATCGCCGAGCGACGAAGCGCCGGGTGAGCCGTAAATAATTCGCGGACTCTTCGAATCGGGCGGACCGTACTCCGTACTTTCCGGCTTGTAAACGGGCCCTTGTTGCACGTACTCTCTCCTGTTCGCTTTCGTCTTCGTGTCCAAACGAACGATTCCTTCCCGCGGATCTTCGCTGGTGCGCGAGTGTCTAAGCGCCTCGAGATAGCTGTCCTTTTTCCGGGCTATCTTCGGGTTTTTGCCGGTCCAGTAGCGGCTCGTGACATCGGAATTCACGTCGGATCTCCGAAGCGAATTTCCATCGTGTTCTCCGGAAGACGATAATCGGTTGACAATCGTGGGAGTTACGGAGGGATCGTCTTTGGTCGACGCAGCGTCATTGGAATAGCTGGAGTTGACGATTGGCGTTTCGATCGGCCAGGACGGACTGAGAACGAGATCTTTTCCCAGAACTACGGAAGCTTCGGATTCTCTGGCCTCTATCTTCAAAGTCGATGCGCCCGGTGTGCTCTGATGATTTGACGGTACAGCTTCGTGAGACGAGACCGAGGCGAGACACAAAGACAGAAAGATTCCTAGGATGCGGCCGACTCGATACTTTTGTGCTTGGTAATGACACCTCATTTTGATAACAAGAATAACTATATAAATCTGAAGAATAAAAATCTGCAAAAAAGCAAAATATTAAAAATTTCTAAAATTGCATATGAAATTTTACAGTGTATTATTGTAATTAATAATATGTTTATTATAGTATAAATTTTCTCGTCTTATAAATCTAATAACAAAAACTTCTTTCATGTCTTTTATATACATGTAATGTGTATAAAATTCCAATAGAATATATATTCGTTTTGTTTTATCAAAAGTCTACTTAAATATATGGTTTTTGAACAGTTTTGAATAAGTTTATATAATATTATATAAAGCGGGAGCGAATAAATTTCTTAGAGATTTCAAACGGGCAAAATGTTTGCTGAAAAATTAATGCAGCAGTAATCAAGCTGGAAAAAAAAAAAAAAACAAAAAGCGGCTTCTAGATGAGTGTAGAGGATCACACTCGAATACAAAATGCAAACATTTTCATGCCGCGCATACTAAAGCGCGAGTTAGCGGTCTTCGCCCCTTTTTAGCGATCTCTCGGCAACTTCAACAAGTGACCCTAATTCACGAGTGCGGAATTGCAAGACGATAGCTGCAATTTGCAGTCTACTAATTTAGCGCGGCGTAATGTGTGTCATATTATTGTGTTATCTCTAATATTTTGTACCATTAAGTCAAGTATTAAATTGTTCTACTAAAGAAATATGATTAAAGAGACAAAAGAGAGATGGTTAATACTGCGTAATAACAAATAAAGGAGCTTTACAATAGTTATTAAAACTATGAAAATTATAAGTAAGCAGAAAATTTAATGATTTAATTTTCAGTAATCTTTTAACACAAAATACATACGTTGATTAATTTCACTTAAAGAAAAGATTTCCGATTCTCTGACAAAGAATAGCGTCGATTTCTAACTCCTCTTGGATTCGAGTTTTTCTTAAGTGTTCCCAAAACAAGTGGCTTCAAATTTTTTTTTTTATATAACTTTCACTCGCGAATTATTCACTTTTAAACTTTTATACTACATACGCACAAACTTATTCGTCACAAAGCTGTTCTTAATTAATGATGAATTCGCGAAATGCTTGCCATCTTCTTGGACGGACACTCCCATGTCGATCAACGCTCGTGAATAAAAAATCCATTGCCTTTGCGTCGTCTATATATGCTGTTCGCTCTCGGAAGGGGCACGAGGTTCACGTTATTGGGCTAGTATTTCACCGTGCCGCTTCGATATCACAATGTCAATTGATCACTAATACATGTCATAAAAATGGTCAAAATTTTTATATTATCTTTTAAAAGCGCAATAGCTAAATTGATTTATGGAGGAAAATAGCTTGCATAGAAATATTCCTTTTTTATTATAATTTTATTAGGTTATTTTGTTAACATTATCTTTTATGTATCTCTTTTGTAACAATATTTTCATGTAAATATTTTAACATATGTGAGAGACTTATTTCTTAAAATTAAAAAATTGAGACAACTAAGAGTTGCCGCACTTTGTTACGTGACTTCTGTTCGTATTTATGATGTATGTGGTTAAATTTTTAATAACTTTAAGTTTCTTTTTTAAAAAAGAAAATTTACATAAATTTTAACGATATATTTATTACTCATGTATTTAATAAAATATCTTCAACAATTTCGCAAAATTTCTACACTTACACGTGTGTGTGTGTATGAATATGTGTTTGTGTGAAGTCATTATTATGTACTGGACGATGCAATCGCTAACGGTCACCATTCTTTAAGCCTCCTACAATACTTTGATCCAGTGACACACTTGTAACAAGTATTAGTGACTCTGAGTATTTCTCTCGTTCTACTCTCTGTGCCAAATTAGTTGGCAGCAAAACAATAAAACTGCGTGCGTTTTCTATAAATATTATACAGTACGTGTGTGTGACTGGAAAACAACAAAAATATTTCTATATTATTATTTTAAATTATTGATACAGTCTAATGTAGTTAGTTTTATTTTAAATACGTATATGACTAAACTGTTAACCACCTGTTAACTGTTAACCATCCAAACGAGAGCAAAACGGTTAGAGAAGAATATCAAACATGGTCTCTACGGCTACCCCGATCAATATGCCACTCCGTCTGGGTCTCTGGGCAACCAAACACGAGTATCACGCACAAGATGTGCTTACTCTTGAGAACGGAATTTTAATAAAGAAATAAAGTAGTAAAAATATAATAAAGAGTTTTAAAGTATTTAAAAAAGTGGCAAATATATACGTAAAACATAAAATGAGTTTTTCAATAAGCGAGACAAGGTTCGTGTTATAGTTCAAGTTTGTAGAACTCCCACGAGAGAGAGAATACCAATATGTTTTGTTATCTATAATTATTGTTGCAGATGGATGAAATCCGGCAAAGCGCACAATTTTGTTTTTATCGGTAAGGAAATCGTGGCGACGGCTTCCGGGATTTACGTGAGCTTTTTGAATCTGAACACGAGAGAAAGGCGGATCGAACGTTTCGACAACAAGGAAAGAGGCGATGGCGCATCCTGTTTGGCTGGACATCCGGTAGATTAAACACAAATGTCGTAAAAAATATTAGAAATTTGTCCTATCACACTTGATTAAATACCGTAAATATTTTGAATGATTTTGCAGGTAGTGTCAATGTTTTCTGTAGCCGAAAGAAAACTTAGTCCTAAAATAACAATATTCATGTATCCAACGCTGCATAAAATCTCAACGTGTGTACTAATTGGCAATATAAATGGCTACTTGTCCTGTTCATTTGCTGGTACGGAATATCTCGTAAGTCTGACTAGTTTTCCTGGTTTTCGGTTGATCGTGTGGGTCTGGAAAACCGGTGCGCAAGTCGCAACGCTCGAAACAAAGACAAACGATCTTGTTCAAGACATTTGGTAAATATTTATAATACACACATTATCTCTTTATTTCGCCATATATTTTTTATAACATTTTATTGGAATGTATTTATGTTTTACTGAATAAACCGTTAATAAATGTTTTTTTTTTGTATTTTCCTAAGAGCAGAATGTTTTTTAATGATTTTGTTGATCGTGTGTTTGTAGTTGCTCCTCAAATTTTCCACATTTAATATCGCAGCACGGTTACGTCGGTAACACGCTTTCGATTTATCAATTGCGCACGTGCTCGAAAATCGTGAGCGTACATCACGTGGACGCGCCACTTCCGGAGCACGGAGTTGTGTCCTTGTCCTGGACAGCGGAAGGAAATGTGTTCGTCTCAGACGAATTGGGCAATGTATGGCTCATTGCGATAGAGAGTGGCAAGTTGTACTCGGTAGTACAGTCGAGAACACGCGTACAAACGTCGAAGAACAAATCAATCGTTGTTGCGTATAAAATTGGAGTGATAGTCGCGAATGCTGATAATAAAATTGCTGTAGGTATTGATTTTGATCAGAGCTTTTAAACTACATAAAATTTCTATGATAGAAGCAAATTACTAATTATTTTTTTATTGTTGGAAAAAATATGATTGGATTATTATTATATTGCTTTTCTATTGGCAAAATAGATATAATTGAATTATCAATGTTTTAGTTTTACAAGAGGTCATCGGCAGACTGGAAAATGTCGTGGCAACTCGTGTGGTCGATTTCGATTTCCGGTCCCATTCGAGTAGGAAGATAGCATTGCTCCAAAAACGGAATTTTGTTTCACTCAGGAAACGGAGAAATTTTCGAGATCAGTGCGCAGCAGAACAACGATCCTCACATCGAAATTATCTGCGCGGACGAGATAGAATACAAAGCGCTGGTTTCCATATCTCAGCGCACAGATCACGTCGCGGCGATAGATCGGTTAGATCGTCTCTGCATTGTTGAATTGTCGACCGGCAAACTTGATGCAAGATTATCTCTCAGTCATCACGGCAAAGGTAGAAACAATAAGTTTTCTGGTATAGTAGAGGAAATAAGAAAGATAATATTATTGCACCGAGTTTTTGCAACAATTAGAACTTTAATTTAAATACTGCTTGGAATTTTATTTTTATTCTAGTTCTTCAAATGGAATCACATCCTGTTTTACCAATAATTGCATTGTGCAGCGATACTGGCAACTGCATACTTATTAACATTGCAATTATTTCATCGCTCAAAATTCTCAAGTGTTTTCATCTTCACGGAGATTGTCTTGACAGAATGAAATTTTCACTCTGCGGCAAAACTTTAGGAATAGGCAATTCTCACAATGGCATATTATTTGTTATTGGTATACGAACTCGGCAAAAGCGAGATGTACTAGGATTTGTAGAAATTGATGGATACGTAAGACAATCAATATTAATTATATACATCGATTTTTTTAACATATTTTTCTATTATTTATACAAGTTTACGTTGCGTATTTATAAATTAATATAAATATTTTTATAAAAAAATTAAATAACAATTTAATTGTGTTAAATCTAATTTGTTTTTCTTTCTTTTCGTGTAGATCGCTGACTTTCTGATATACGAAAGAAGTAACGATAATTTTGAAATATTGGTTCTCGCAGCTAATCCTTCCACAGCTTCGCTCGGCGGTAATAAAGTAATAGTATACACTTGCGACATCGCAATTGATTTCTGCGCAAGCGTCACGTGTGTAATAGACTTACCAGAACCTTTCGAGATGCTCGGTCACGAGCCAAATAAATCCCTGGATATATTAGGCATACCTTCCTTATCGAAACAAATATTTCAAATGGAACTACAGGTTATAATAACATTCCACTTTATAAATACATTATTGTATTTTATTTCGACTAAAATAAACAAGCGCTAATGTGTAAATTACAATTTCAAAAAAAAAAATAATCAATAAGATATTAAATTCTATCATATGTATAAGATTTTTCAAAATTATTTCTATATTTGTAATATCTTCATATAAATGTAATGCTGCCTCTCTCTATTTGGAGGCTGAATATAATTTATCATATTTCCTTCTTGACAGAACAATTTTCAAGACATCGTTCTGACGACAGCAGTTTCCTCAATGCACCAAATGAAAAAAATCGGAATAAACGCGACTGATTCTCGTGTCATAACATACGGCTACGACGGTTTGATTGTGGTCAGAAGCAGCGCGGAGCTTCGTAAAGCAATTGCAATTTTTATGCCTCATCATCGCAGCGAAGGAGGTGTAAAAAAATGTGCGGCTTCCTCGCGCTTTGGAGAAATAATCGTTTCTCTGGGTAGAAACGGAGATCTCGTTGCTACGCAAATACGGTGATTTTTTTTTTTGTCATTTACATATTTTGTTATATTTTGTATCGTATGTATTTTTAAATTATTTGTAGAGTCTCCATAAGAGAAGATAAAAAAATTTAGAGTCTTATAAAAAAAAAACTCTGATCATCAATTTGCGCTCTCGATTATCAATTACAGCGTTTTTCTTTAGGATATTTAAATATAAATTAATTTATTAAATACAAATTAATTTATTAAATTTAAATTATAATTTATTACGTATACATTTGACAGTTTACCGGAAATAAAAATGAAAATGGTAAAAAACGAAGCTGTAAAAGTATCAAAAGACGACTTCGCTTTTGATTCAAACGAACTTTACGATCTTAAAGAAGAAACTTGGCTGAGCAGCGTGGTCGCCGCTAAACTAAAAATTATGCATGATAAAGCCTTGCTTTTGCGAACGTCTGTCTTGGTCGATTTGAAGAAAATAAAAACTCGGGTATGTCCTTCCCGCAAAATGTGTATCTCTACGATTATATAAGATAAGAAATGTGATCGTGAAAGAGTGTGCGAATTAACAGATACGAGAGCTTCTTGATATGAACGAGAGCAAATCGCCGGACGCTAGATTACCGATCTCGGCCTTTGATTTAGACCGCGAGTTTCGGCAACGAAGAATAGAAAAGGCAAGACTCGAACGAAACAAAGTGCGTCGAGATATTGAGAAAGAGTGCGCTCGGCGTGATCTAATTGCATCGTATCTACGGAAGATGTTCTGGGAATCGCTTCAGGTTAAACCAGGTGCTCTCAAATCTATCGGCGACGATACGACAGTTCGAAATTACCCCCTAATTGAAACAAATCTGAGATTAAACGATTTCGAAGTGTGGAATAAGCTTTCCTCGGAAGCCGCTGAGTTTCTGTACAGGTAATAATCAAAATTGTTTTGTTGTTAATAAATTATGTGAACAATCGCAACTTGTTTTTTTTTATATTTTGCATTTTAATATATTTTATGTTATAATATTGTACATGTGCGATAAATTAACAAAACGCGTGTGTCTATTTTTATCTTTATCTGTTTATTCCACAATGTATGCAAGTAAGATTAAATTTTCCTGGTTGGCAAGATTTCTTGGAATAAGATACGTTTCCCAATGAAATATGAGATTAAGTTCTACTTTTAGTTGCGAAATACATGAGGAAAAAAAAGAGCGTGCAGTAATTAATTCCGATGAAGAAACTTTAGCAATAAGCAATGAGAATAACAAAGTGCACAAAATAGCCCAAACCTGGTTCAATCTGGCAAATGAAGTTGAAAAATTGCACATATCGGGTGTCACGACTTTCAAATGGATTGAAGACGAGAGCGTGGTCTTAACGCACCAGTTATTAGCTTCGTGTGACAATCGTCTTGAAAATATCCTGAAGAAAGATGCTGTAATCGAAGGTCGAGAGCGTAAATTGAAGGTCTGGATTATTTTCTTGCAAGACTGTAAATATTTTTATGATTTGCTAGAATAATATAATTTACATAAAAGTTTTTCACAGATCTTAGATAACAATTGAAAAATTGTTTGCTCGGTTTTTCTTTGAACAGATGTATTTTAATGACCTCTTCGAGGAAATGAGACGTGCGAAGGAACGTGAATTAAAATGCGCGAAGGAGCGTATTGACAGGCTTCGCCATTGCACTTTCGAATTGAAGACAATTTACGGAATAGATTATTTTCTCGAACCAATTGAAACGCCGACCTGGTATGTCGATGAAATACCCGATTACGTAGTCACTGTGAAAGATTGCGAAGTGTTTGAGAAACAAGTCGACGAGAATCGGAATGATGAAGAAAAACACAAAAAGACAAGTAATTTTTATATAAAAACTCTTAAGAAGATGATGAACGGTGTGCTGGAACCGAAGTGAGTCAGTCTAAAAGTTTAAACATTTTTAAAAAATATCTCTAAAATTTTTACATTTTTTTCAAGCATAATATTTTGCGTAAACTTTTTATTTATAGAAATTTCTCAAATACATTTACTTCAAAAAAACAAGTCAAAAGCTCATGCTTTTCGTTTTGTTTTAAGATGGGAAGACGAAGTAAAAAAGACAGTACCTATACCAAGATGTATGATTACAAAGGAACCTTCGAAATACACTGTCGAAGACATTGCTATGATAGCGTTGTACAAATTCAAATTACAAGCGCTTCGAAAGAAACGAGAAAAATATAAAGTTTTATTGCAAGCTGAGATCGCGGAAATAAAAGGTCAAGTATATTATATATGTATATTTAAAATAGAGAAAATAAGCAAATTAATCATAATATTTAAATGTTAAACCTCGAATTCAAAAATAAACTTAACCCTTTAATGCCAGACATAAAAAATGACCTACGAGTTGTTCAGACTGGGTCTGTGAGATCTACGCGACTTTAAGTTTGAATATCTTCGCAAAAAGCAATATTTCTTTAATTTCTTTTTTTTTTATCGAAAGGTTGAACGATTCTGCGTCAATCAAAACAACAAATTGAAAACTGTCAACGATTTCTACCATTGTCTAAGATCCTACAGTTTTTTTTTTTCATGGCCTTCAGATGTCACGCTAAATTAAGACCTAGTAGAGACACTGGTTAAAACTTTTGGATGTGAATCTCGGAGACCCATATCTGGGAAGGATTAATTAAAAAAAAAACCCTATCAAGAGCGAAATGATTTTTTCTAAAATTTATACGAGAAATAAAACATTAAAATATACATTTCAGAAGCTTTGCAAAGAGACATTGCGACTTTCAACGACAAGATGAAAGATCTGGAATTGACAAAAATACAGATCGAATGCGCGATTCTTCAGGAAAGACTGCTGAGAATACGCGCGATTCAAAGACACCGAACGGAAGTCGATGGCAAGCAAGAAATCGTTTGTTTTGCCGTTGAAGAAGTTGAACCCGCTACGCGAGAAGCTCGCAAACTCGCCGAGGTATGCACCTCGCTCGAGACGATCGTGTCGGAGCTGAAATCGCGATATGAGAATCTCTGCAAAGCTGATAAACGTCAGGAAATCAAGTTCCGCGGCGAATTCGCGGACCTGAAGCAGCCGATGGTAGAGCATTTGTTGAGACACTATAAGAAACGACCCAGATCCAGTCGATTCGTCACCACGTCCGTCATATATCTGACGGAAGTAGCTAAGTGCGTCACAGGTTGCGAGAAGTCAGACATCCTGCCGCGCGAATGTCTGGACTTTCTGAGGGACATGGACGCTTTGGACGTGATGCCGGGAAACTTGCCGTCGCAGATCAGTGTCAATTACTGGCGAACGATGTGCAAGCTGAGAAGGGCGAAGGTCGAAGTGGAGATAAAGGTAAGAAAGAATGATATACTTTCGTAAGGGATGCAAAAATATATATATCAATATTCAAGTTCAATTTGTAACAATTAAAACGACTGAAAAGGTGAGATGCTGCGCGGTGGAAGTGGCCGAAGCGGAACAAACGCTGTCATTTTACCAGAAGACGATATGTTCCATTGACAATGTCGTGGCGAACAAGAAGCTCAGTCTAGACAAGAAGAAAGATTCCTTGGCGCAATTTGCGGAGGATATGGAGATTCAACTGGTCTTGAAAATGGATCAAATCGAGATTCAGTTGCTAGGTAGTCCCGTCGACTGCGTAGACGCTGTTCTCGTAACGCGCGGAGAATTGTTGCGCGTCAACGACCGTATTACGGACGCTGGCAGGAGCAAGTTGTCGGCGATGCACGAATCGATGCACTTCCGAAAGATCCTGTCTCATCACGAGTGGCAGCAAACCTGCGCGAGAATGACATGGAATGATTTAGAGCAGGAACTGAAGGATGTTGAAAAGTTCAAGGTGCATTATCGAGCTTTGATAAAATAATAAAAATAAATATTAACAAATAGTATATATGTACGAGGATGAGCTGGTCGTAATTAATTGCTTTGCAGATCACGAGAAATGTGTTGGAATTGTTGAACTGTCATTCAACCGACGCCAATTTGGACGAGGGTTGCGAAACGATGCAAGCTAGTTTGCAAATATTTCGAGATGTAAGTGTTTTTTTTTTTTTTTCAGCACGAGACTCTTTCACAATCGACGCGGCTCAATTAAAACGTGAAATTTTTCAGAGATTTCGTCAACTGTTGGAACTAGAACAGACGCGTTTGAAAGAAACCAAACGAATAATGGCAAAATGGAGGAAGAAAACCGACAAAATTGCCAGAAACATCAGATTGAAACAGTCGGATGTTGAGGAAAATCGCAAATTAATCAACGATTTGTCAAGCAGAAATGAGAAGTCCCGAAGAATAAAACTCACAGCGATCGCGAGACGTACCAAACTCGTGATGAAACTGGAAGAAAATTACGAGCAGCTGCTGGCTTTACACGCTCGTTTGGAAGTGTTGAAGTTGCGAACTTATCCGACTTTACAGTTTAACAAAAATATTTTCATATAGTCGAGATATAATAGCCACCCACAAGATCTGCTTATGACACAATTTCACGTATTACATGTTGCTCGCGACACAGCGACTTGGCCCGCAACGAGAGATAAGACTTTATTTTTACGTGATTATTTTTGAGAAAGAACATCAACAACACATTTATTATCAATTTAAAAAGTAACATACCAAGAACGAGAACAGAACTTAATGCTTCAGTTATGTAATAAACGATTACGTGATAAACGATTTGTTTTCCTTATCAATCAAAGACATAGAATGTGTTTCTGCATTAACCTGTGCTTGTTCAATATTGACAATTAAAACGAAAGAACTAACAAAAGCTATCAAGATCATAAAAAAATCAAGAAAGGCACATGATTTGAAAAATGGAAATATACAAAAAAACATGCAAGCTTCTCGGAGATAAACTACAGAAACCGAAGAGTAATGTCGAAAAAGTAACGCCGAATAATAATTATTTAATGTTGACAAGTGATATTCATTCTATCTCTTTTTTATCTATGTTTCTCTTTGTATGCGTGTGTACATATGTGACACATCATTATAAATATTCTCGATATACATTCTTTATATCGAACTCGGAGAGAGAAAGAAAGAGAGAGAGATTATGCTCTTATCAACTGTGATGTTTTGTAACAACTCGTATATACATATGAGACGCCTTGCACGATTTCTTTATTCAGCTTGTAATCTGTTTAACTCGTGTATAAGCGGAAAAGAGAAAAAGCGAATATTGTCGTCGCATGATTTTAGCAGGGGAATTACCACGAGTAATTTTCCTGTGTCAACAAAAGCACATACGTGCTTTCACACGATGTACACAACATAACGAATGTCTCTCTCTCTCTCTCTCTCTCTCTCTCTCTCTCTCTCTCTCTCTCTTTCTGCGCGTATGTGTGCGTGCGTTGAACTCTAAAGTTCCGAACGAAACTGTCCTTGGTCGGAAACCAAGGACGTGGATTCGCCGAACAAAACTAACCGAGAAGACACGAGTTAAATGCTTGAATCGCGATGAGGCAAATGCAGATGCATAGGATTGAATAAACGAAAGCAACAAGTCTTTTCAAGGATATTTCGCGATGTTGCAGACTCGTCCTGGAAAAGTACCGGACATGTTAACACCCGCAGCGGATGCTCGTGAACTCGATACGCAAAGATTTAACAAGATTACTTATATACGTACACATCTAATTTAATTTATATTTGTTTTAAAGATTTAAACGAAATATTTCTTTATTTCTTACAAATCAGGATGTAATCTCGTTTTTATTCTACAGCAGGTTTAATTAAATATTTTGTCCTCTCGCGATTGTTTTTCTAAAAATCTGCGCGCGACAAGGTTGGCAATGCAAACGTCGATATACAAAAGAGAAGAGCAATCGAATAGATAATGACGATGGCGTCATTTGAGCAAAACGAACTGGGAAAGACCAACCGTCGAAGAGGTCACTAAGCGAGAGAAAAACACACGACGTGAAGGAGGAGAAAGAGCGAATCTTGTCCCCTCCAACAGGTTGAAATCTAAAGAAGGAAGACGCACGTGTATATAAGCACGTTAGATTGCAGCCACGGACGGTCGTCGTTGACGAGTCGTCGTCAGCAATTCCATCTGGATTCGCGTTCGATTTCATTTTTTATTTCTGACATTTTTGTGAAAACAAGCGCGCAAGCGGTATTGTAAAACCGCGCGAAAGTATTCTATTATCAGAATGTTGTACAAATTTACGCTGCTCGCGGTCGTCGCTATAACGGCCGTGACCGCCTCAGGTTCGCCACGGATATGTAAGTATTTTATTTCAATTTATAATTTATGTCACACAAAAGTATACGTTGTACGTATGTACGCAAAAAATCTTTAAAAAGTCATTTCGAAGAAAATATAAACAAAAAAATAAATAGTCACTCCAAGCTCGTTGACGATATGTGTTTGTTATCGTGCGTGTAGTCACAATGTGCGTTCCGGAGACGTACGCGAAAGAATGCGCGAAGATGATGGAGGATTCCACTAGCAAGGGCTACCCCATATCGTGTATCTCCGGACGTGATCGATACGATTGCATCGAAAGAGTCGGCAAGAAGGAAGCAGACATCGTCGCCGTAGATCCCGAAGATATGTATCTCGCGGCGAAAAATAAATTCGCCGAGAAAGCTGGATACAGCGTGGTCGAACAGGTAATGTAATCGACGCCAATTGGCGCGCGATAGTGCGAAAAAAAATATACAAGTACATAAGTTGATAATTATAAAAAAACTTAAAAATTATACAAATAGGTTTTAAAAAAAAAAGAGCATTTGAAAGAAGAATTTATACATGTGCACAGATTAAAGTTTTGTAATTTATATTTATATTTATATATTTATAAATTATAGTAAAATAATTTTAAGTTCATAAAACATACGTACACGCCATAAATATATAAATGTTTGTGTGTATATGTGTTTTTCGTTACTTGTCTAACAGGTGAGGACAAAGGAGGAACCCGAAGCGATATATCGGTACGAGGCGGTAGCCGTAATTCACAAGGATCTGAACATAAACAACGTTCAGGGATTGAGGGGTCTCAAATCCTGTCACACCGGCGTGGGTCGTAATGTCGGATACAAAATTCCCATCACGAAGCTCACCGCGATGGGCATTTTGACCGACATCAATAATCCCGAGTACTCCGCTCGCGAGAACGAGCTTCGCGCTTTGAGCACGTTATTCGACAAAGGCTGCCTGGTGGGCACGTGGTCACCTGACCCAAAGATCAATCAGAGACTTAGTAAGTGACTTACTCTTTGAAACTCGCGTTAATTGTTTTAGATTAGATACATATATGTACATGTGTACAGACGAATTGTCAATATGATGTGCGAGTGAAATGAGATAAGCAATCAGCCAGACTAATGAATACACGAATGCGTAAGATGGAAAATAAAATTAAAATGATGTAATAAAAACAAATAAGAGAGAAAATGATAAAAAGTGATAGCAAAAAACATTTTTTTTCAATATATAATCTTGAAATATTTTAGAGATATATTAACTGGTAGATAGAGAATTTCACGTTTGACTTCTCGTCAAGAAGATAATTTTTGCAATACTTTTAAATTATGATAAGATAGAGAGAGAGAGAGAGAGAGAGAGAGAGAGAGAGAGAGAGAGAGAAAAGAAGTTTTGTACATTCGAGATGCAAATTAAGAGAATATCTGAAGTATAATTTTAAAATTAATTTCGATTGTTTTGGAATTTGTGTAATTTACTGAGTACATTCGCGATCAAATTGTTATATTATTATTATTGCTATAGCTTTAATTTGGAATAAAATCGAGTTTCTTTATTAAATTTTCTTTTTACTTTTCAGAGGAAACCTACAGCAACATGTGCGCTCTTTGTGAGAATCCGGACCGGTGCGATTATCCGGACATATTTTCTGGATACGAAGGTGCTCTGCGCTGTCTGGCTCACAATGGCGGCGACGTCGCTTGGACAAAGGTCATCTACGTAAAGCGCTTCTTCGGCTTGCCGGTCGGAGTCACTCCGGCGGTACCGTCTTCCGAAAATCCGGCTAATTTCCGATATTTCTGTCCGGACGGTAGTAAAGTACCCATCGATGCCAACACGAAACCGTGCACATGGGCGGCCCGACCGTGGCAGGGATACATGACCAACAAAGACGACGCCAACAATGCTGAAGCTATTCAAAGAGTATGTAATATTCGTCGTTTTTTTAAAGCTTGAAACAATTATATTAAAACAACATTTAAAAAAGAGGATTTAAGAAGAAGAACATTTTAGAATTGCATTAAGATAATTTATCTTATATATTACAAAGCCATTATTAAATAAAAGTATAATTTAATTTTGTTCATATGTAAAATGTTTTTTCCAGGAGTTAACACAACTAGATCAACTTGGCGGGAATGAGAAGGCGGACTGGTGGAAGGATATCATGCTGCTCGACGAGAAGACTTTGGCCGTTGCCGCCGAGCCGGTGTCGCCGGAGGAACACTTGAAGAGCGCGAAATATATGGATGTGATCGAGAGAAACTCCGGCGCGCCGGAAAGGGATGCTCGTTGGTGCGTTTGGGATGAGAGCGCGCTGGACAAATGTCGCAGTCTCGCCAGAGCTGCCTTCTCGAGGTATTAAAACACATCAGTGTGAAAAAATAAATTTTCTCTTTTCTCATTTTTCTATATTAAAAAATTTTCGTAATTTAGTTTTTCAAGAGCGTCTGAATAAATTGCGTTTTTTAATGTTTGCAGAGACGCCAGGCCTAGATTCGACTGCATATTGGAAAAGGATAAGGACGCCTGCTTGAAAGCCGTCAGAGATAATGGGGCTGACATAACTGTGATCGACGGTGAATCGGTGAAACTCGCGATAAACGACTACAACGCGATACCGATCGTCGCCGAAGCCTATGGCGAGGGATCAACGAAATTCAGCGAAAGACCAGCGGTCGCCGTTGTCAAGAGCAATTCTCCCATAAATTCACTGAGTAAATAAGTTTACTTGCTTCAAAATACGATTATCGAATTTTGAAATAATTCTTATTAGAGTTTCAAGATTGACAGAGATATTAAATATATATTTATATAAACAGATGGTATTTTGAGCATAAACGTGTACATTTTACGGATCATTTCTATTGTTAACGTCACTTTTGCAGGTGATCTTAGAAACAAAAAGTCTTGTCACAGCGGTCACGTCGGCGACTACGCTGGTTATATCGCACCGGCTCACGCTTTGAAGGAAAAGGGTCTTATCAATCAATTAAACGAGATGGAGTCCTTCTTTTCTGAATCGTGCGCACCCGGCGCAACCCTCGGCTCGAAATCTTGTCAGCTTTGCGTCGGCACCATAAAGTCCGACGACGATCAAGTGAAAGAAGCCACAAAATGCAGACCGACAAACGCTGAATATTACAACGGCGGAAAAGGAGCGCTCAGGTAACGTCAACGCTTTTTTTTTTATCAACTTTTGTCTTTGTTGTAAATAAATTGAAATCACGATTTTGACCGTCGTCGCGTACAAAATAGCTATAAGAAGTTTTATCTTTCCAATTTGATGATAAAATTGCAATATCTAATAAATAAAATTTCATTATTTTCTACATCTAAATAATTTTTACAATTTTTCTTGCAGGTGTTTGAAGAATAAAGGAGACGTTGCGTTCCTGCCTCTGACAGCACTGCAACAGCTCGGTAATTTTATTGAATTTTTTTTACTTAACTTTTTTCACCTTTACTTTAAATCACATCTGTCGTACTGATTTTTTTTTGTTACGTGCTGTGATCTAGATGAGGAGAAAGACGGTGCGGGTAAACGCGAAGATTACGCTTTGCTTTGTCCTAACGGCGGTCAAGCGCCTCTCGATCAATGGGAGCGTTGTAATTTAGGATTAGAACCGCCAAGAATAATCGTCAGTTCGAACGGAAAAACCCCGAACGCTCTGGAAGAATTAAAACATGGAATTTTGGCCGCAAGCACCTTGTATTCCAAACACCCTGATCTTCTACGTCTTTTCGGCGCCTGGAACGACAAACGTAACATACTATTCAAGGTAGGATATTATTTTTTTCAGACGTTGCATAAAGAGACGTCGAAGAAGATCCCATGTTTGTTAACACAAAAAGTGTTTGCCCATATCTCTCCTTTATCATCTCCAAAATATTTACTTGTTTCAAATCGCGCTGTGTCTGTATGCGTAGTATTATCTGTGTTTGCATCTCAAAAAAAACAACTATCTCTTATCTTCAGGATGACGTGAAACAACTGGTGTCTACTGACAACACGTGGAACAAATGGAACAATTGGGCAACTGATCTTACTGTTTAAACGGATTAAAATTATATTGAACCTTTTGGTATATCGAAGAAAAATCACCCGACTGGCCTTGAGAGATAAACATTTATATATGTGATATATAATTTTTATTTTTACCTCTCACACGAAGCAATTAATCTCGCTGTTCGATCCAATATGTGTGTATTTCAATAAACCACTTTTATATTGTAAAAAAACAAATATACGAGTATACAAAATAAATTTACCATTGCTTTGTTGAGTCTCAGCTTAAGTTTATAAATTTGTATTATTTTATACAATGTAAACGCAGCGCTCGACTCGTGCGCTTTTGCGTTAATATTGCACATTATAAATATGTAGACCGCACAATAGAGACTTTTCTCTTATTAGTCTTACTAGTTTAGATTCGTACAAAACCATTTAAACTTCGAGAAATTCCACAATCGATACATAATGCGATTATGAAGATATCGAAATGGCTCGGCGCAATCGAGAAACCGCATCACCGTTTTTTTGCTAACCTGTTACCATTGATCGTATGAATATAAACTCTCAGTTAAAATTTTATATAAAAGATTACAGCGTCTTCATTGCGTAAGGCTGTGTTCAGTTAAGCAAGATGGAACGAACTAATGGAGGAAATGCAGGAAATATAGGAATTCATTAGTTCCAATTCCTGTATTTCCTGCATTTCCTCCATTAGTTCGTTCCATCTTGCTTAACTGAACACAGCCTAAGTGGCTAAAGAAAAAAAACTGAGAGCGGCCAGGGCAATATGAAAAATCTGTTAGTGCTTTCCACCTACGTATGTACACAGGTGACACTTATGTAACACAGTAAGTCTGTTTTTTTTACTTGAACTGGCTATACTAGTTCAGAGTTTATCTTTATTTTTCCAATGTGGAGTAAAAAAGATAAACTAGTGCAGCCAGTTCAGATAAAAAGAACAGACCTAGTGTACACTGTACGTAGCTGGAAAGAGCCCATAGTCATGGCGGATGATCACTTGACTAATATTGTTATCTCGTTATTCTCTCTGATCTCTGATAGTTTCATAGCAGTGTTAACATTATGGATTATTTGATGCAAATCTTGTATTGAATAAAATGCGGTTTCAATGACATGTATGTATTGTATTGTATATAATTAATGCAAAGTAAAGAAATTTGTTTTGGTGGTTAGATTAGGTTGGGTCACCTCATTCATGCATTTATTTTTAACATTTTTAGAATGGCGGGAACTTTCATCTAGACTGACAAATGAACAAATTCGAAGTTTTCTCTGCGAAAACTGCAACTGTGGTCTTTCTTGCATAAGTATGTTTAATTTTTTACTCACTATATTTATATGTAAGAGACATGGCACATTGATTGAAGTAGATGATAAACATTTTGTTAAGCAACGAGATGAGATAATTAGAATATAACAGGAATAAATTTATATACTTTATATTTATATACTTTATAGTGTTTTTTTATAAAAATTAATTTAGGAGAGCATTTTATATATAATTATATAAGCTAAAAACTTTTATAATGATGTTGAAATAATGTGCCATTGATTTCTCTTATATTAATTGTCTTACAAGCTGTATCTACTGCTTGTGTTAAAGCCGGTGTACCACAACTGAAAACTCCAATCTTGCTTGTCTGAAACAAGAGTCATTTAAGAGAAATACAAAGAGAATACAATGTTATACATATGTAACAATAACAATAGTTATAAATTATAAGAAAGATAAGTCAAGAAATTGCACAGAGAGTAAATGTGGTTATTGGCAGTAGATATCTCTGTACTTACCGAAGGATGTAACTTTTGTATAGAAGTAAAAAATTGAGAAAACTTTGGACGCCCAAAGTGTGTTACCGCTTTTAGGCCAGTAAACAAAGATTTATTTGAAATCTTTTGGAAATGACGTTCGCAGATATACTAGAAATAACATTATATAGTTACATTATGAAGTCTCATGTGTGTTAAAAATAACATTTTCTATTTAGATGTCTTACTAAAAGTATTGTACGAAGGTCAAACTTTTGATAAAATTGAGTGACAAAGATGTGAATTGATACTGTGTTATTGACATCTGCTTTCTCTAGTTCTCTTAATATATCGACCATCCATTCAAATTGCTTCTGCGTTCTCGTCACCCATAGGAAATATACCTGTCGAATATTTTTACATGCTTACACATTATTTTTATCATAGCACTAACGATAGCGTTGTTACCTTTTTGCAACCAAAATGTAGTTTGCAATGTGACTTGAAAACAATATCTTTGAGTACCGACGCAAAAGGTGTAACACCTATACCACCGCCAACCATGATTGACACTTTGTATTTGTCCCAATCTTGATGTCCTTCTCCGTACGGACCATCAATATGAATCTCAAGTGGATAAGAAGATAATGTAAAAGAGTTGATATGTAAATAAAATGAGATGATAAGAGCTTGAACTTTTTACAACACACATAGAGAATTTACCACTGGAAGATTTTTATTAGACAATTTACACAGTTCCAGGTGTTCTCTGATATTTATGGTCCATGGTCCAACTGCACGAATGTGTATACTTAAATTTGTTTCATGCGGTGCAGAGGACAGAGTAAACGGATGACATTCATTTGTCTTTAATGCTGGACATGCTATTCTGATCCACTGGCCAGATAAATATTGAAAATTCATAGGCTTTGGAAATATTATACATGTCACACCTGTACAAAATGTAGCGTACAATTATACAAATAACTGTTGTAAAAAGGTTGCAAAAAGAATATGCAAAAATGACGATGTAATGATGTCAAGACTACCTGATGGCAGTATTTCTGCTTTGAGTATCGGTATCTTTATTGTTTTTCTGGTCGCAGTTGCAACTTTATCGAGAGTAAATAAAATTACTGGGCCTAGAAAGTAGTAATGAAAATTCGGTCCCTGTTAAGATTAAGAAATCAAAATAATATCCATTGATACAAGAAACATTGAGAATATTTTAGTAATATTATGTGAAACATACGTACATAAATTTACATAAGTAATTACCTGTACTAATCTCCCAATACCGTGCAAAATTGTGAATATGTAAAAAAGCGGATATAAAGAATGTACAAGAGAGAACCAGTTGTAGAATGATTTACGTACAATCGACAATGAACATATAAATATCAATCCAGTCAAAATAGTTAAAAGTACTCCCGTTACACCTGTTATCGTGTACCAACACCAGTAGTGAAATTTGGGAAGTTCGTGTGTTCTATAAGTTTCAATAATCTCACAGTTGATACTAATACTAATCACAAGTTCGAATAATATAGAAAAAAAATCACATAAACACTCACGCGTGAAAATAATTGCGAAACAAGCAAGTCAGATCATCGGCGGTTTGCGTGGATATGTGATAGAAGTTGAAGCCGTGTCCGACTACGTGTAAAACTAAATGTTTCAAGATATAGAATTAATTATGAAGTGCGTGTATAAATTTTTACAAATTTTGATGGCAAATGTGTTATACGTGTAACTTTTTGTTTTTTTTATACATAATCGATAAAATGACAAGTCTACTTTAAGAATTAAAGTAAGAGAAGAGAGTTTCAAAACGTCAAAGGTGAAAGGGACAAAGAGAGGTTTCTTACCGGTGAAGATCAGGGCCCAACAGGCGACGTATTTGTGCATTTCTATCGCCGAATCGAAAGGAATGTAGAATTGCAGAATTGTGGTTCTCAGAAAAGTAATGGTGTTGTTGCACATCACGACCAACAGTGTGGAATAAGCGAGCATCATAGGCGCGGCCGAACCTTTCGTCACGGCCAGACCGTATCCCAATATTTGTCTCAAACCAGAAGCGTTTTCCTTCGAAAAGGCTGCGGTAACGTTTATTCGTTTATTATCGAAACATAAAAAAAAACAAAAAATGAAAAATTAGACTCTTATGTAAAAAGTTTTTCGAAAGAACGTACAGTAAACTCGTTCGACGAAGATGCCAAGTAAGAACAGAGTGTACAGACATGTCCAGAATATATGCAATCGTTTGTTAGCGATGTACTTCATGATGGGGTACCAATAATCGTCCAACTCTTTCTTCGGTTCTTCAACAATTTTCTCGTTTTTGTCGATGATCTCGCTGCGATTTTCCTTCTTCTCGTTTGTTTTTTGCTCACTCTCAACATTACCCTCCACTCTGACTTGTAATTCGCTCGGGTCGGCGTACAGACTTTCCACCGTCTTTTGCACCTCGCCGATGAACGTTGATCTGACCGTTTTCACACCCGCGTGAAGAATCCTGCTCTTTCCAGCGCTATGCACATTAAATTCCAACTCCGCGTAATTGAATTTGTCATTGAAGTCGCTTAGTATTTGCTGGAAGTTCTGCAAATTTATAGTCTCCTTGTCCGCCAGATCAGCGTGATACATCATGGATTGCACCAAGTCTTCCAACTCGTCATCCGTTACGTCGGCGTTGCTGGTCTCCATAAACGATCTGTAAATTCGACACACAATTGCAGAGAAAACGTACGTGTCGTGCAGTTAGTTGTAGACGATCTAACGATGTTACCTCAGCATATTCGAAAACTCTTCTCGCTTAAGTCTTCCCGTACCGTTGATGTCGTACATATCGAACATGAACTTCATCTTCTGTTCAGCGGTGCCATTTAGAAATATCACTAACATATCGACGAATTCTCGAAACGATATAAAGCCGTTTTTGTCTTTATCCGCCAGATTAAATATCTGCGCGATGTAATAATTTATAAATGAACGTACTCATGCTCTCGGCATGCTACGGTTGCCCTTACATTCGTTTAAATAAATTTGGTATAAACGTTACCTTCTTTACGAATTCGGAGTCCGGTCTCATACTCAAAGCTTCCGCGAATTCTATGATGGTCAGCTCGGTATGGATCACGTCTCTCGCAACCATCGAGTCTATTTGTAACATTTCTTCTTCTGTGTGCGTGATATGAAACGCCTGAAAAAGCGTCACAAGCTTGTATTTAAATTCTCGAAGAGAGAGCAATTTGATTTGTTGTTTGAGCATCTTCCAAAGAAACAGAAAAAACCGAACAAAATACCTGTGCGAACACAACACGGAAGAACATCTCTAATTTTTTTTGGCGATTTTTCTTGGTTATTGCTTGCTTGAGTAACGCTGTGAGTGTAATATTTGTCAACATTTGCAGCGAGCATAGATTTTCGGATGTCGAGATTTCCGATATAAATTTCTCAAACGCTTTCACAAATGTACTTCTCAGAAATTCGGAATCGAACTTCAACACTAAATCGTAATTGTGATGTACGCGAATCATTGCGTAATGACTGTCGGATGTACAATAAATCTGTACAAGAAACAGACATATTTTATATTTTTTTAAAACGTTTTCATATTGTCATTTTTTTTATTTTATATTTTCTCAATTAACACTCTAATAAACGCATCGGTACGTTTTGCGCAGTAAAAAAAAAACGTACCATGATGTTGCTGTTCGGTAGAAAGTCCACCACGCGTATTAAATCTCCCAACTGATTTTTTACTTCCAATTGCTTTTTTCTGTTATTCAATGCTAATATCACGTGCCTCAGCGAAGTTCTCGGTTCTTGCCACTCGCTAGCTAGTTTATGAAATATTTTTATCAATACGCGTATAAAAGCACCGGTTATTTTAATTACGTCATTAGAGAAAACATCAATATTGTTATTATTATCTACTACTCTGAAAAAACTCACCGGAATGTATAATGTCGATGTTGTCACTATTATACACTTTCTTGTTCTTTTCTTTCGTTGAAAACTTTCCTTTCTCTTTGAGTTGTATCTTAAAGATAAGTAACGCGATGAAACCTGCGTCAGAACGAAACGCTAAATAACGTGCAATCGACATTTCGATAATTATTATTGGAGTATAGCAAGTGATTTTTACCACATAAAAATATCGATACACCTAAAAACGTAAAAATAAAAGAAGCAACGCTATTAGAATAATAATCATAACTTCCGGGCTTTGTGCAGTTCTCAATATTCTCGTTGATCTCATTGATGTAAAAACAAGGTTCACGCACTGCTTTACACTCTCCCGGTTTAACAATCGTCTTACAGTTACCGTGTAAATCGTTCTCTAAAAGAATACATATTTAAGAAACACAATTGTCATTAGGCAAATTCAAGCTTCTGTATATGATGTGTGATAATTTTCTTTTACCACTTCTAGGTACTCTAAAGATACTTTTTTGAATATCATTATATTCCATCTTCGGGAACACACACATCAATATGTCGTAAAATTTCAGTTGCTTCAGTCTGTCAACTTCTTCATCAAGAAAGAGTCTACAAATGAGATTGTATTAGGTTTACAAAATTAATTATGTACTATGGAAATTGAGTGTTCATCCTAGGTAGTCATAAAGGAAAGTAAAATCTATCCGCAATTTATGATTATTTACTTGTTCGAGGTGTTGTTGTACCAGAATCTATCACCGTCGCGTATTCGCTGGAATTGATCTCTGGTGATGTTTTGAAACAACGTCCCAGGCCCATCGTTAGTCTCCAATAGCCCGCCTATCCAAACATCCACGTCATCGAGCGAGTTGTTATACAGTCTGAGAAATTCTTGTTTTGTCTTAAATGAGACATGAATGACAATGCTGTGATTGTATATATGTATATATATATATATGTATACAAGTCGATGGCTTTTGTAGAGCGTACCTTATCGTCCAAATAAGTAAAATGGTTTATGCTTTTAACTTCATGCAGACCGTACGCGCGACGAGCGCTATTGTAATCAGGTACTCCGTGGTCACGTCCTCGTTGCACGTTGAGGGCCATCAGATCCCTTCGTGAGAATTCCAACGGACCGTACAAACTGCCTCGCAGATCCTTTACGATTCTGTGATCCTCTTCTTCGCACAATTGAACAGCCATTCCCATGACCAATTTCTCAGCGGTATCATTGGCACCGATATTCAATTTTGTTGACTTGGCATAAAGAGAATTCTAAACACAAACGATTCTCAGTCGTGCATTGCACTTGCACTCTCTCGACGAAACATCGTAATTCTCAACAAGAATACCTGTGACATCCAATAATTATTGCACGTTCTGACCGGATGTGGTTCCAACATGCAATTGTTTCTCCCATAGTTGCGCAGATACACACCTGATATTGTTGCAATATTTTCGTTATTGTCATATATGTGTATATTTAATTCTTTTAGTAGTAAATCTAGACCATATTATTCACCGTATAACGAACTTATTTCATTATATACAGTGTGAATGAAAAATAAGAAATACTTATCATACGATTAGATTGCTCACGCCATTTCACATTTAAGAAAAAATTGACAATTTATTGTTAGGATATTACGATATATTTTTCTAGATATTAGTTTCAATTACTAATACGAGCATTAATTGACGCGTACACACGTGTTAGAATAGAATCGTTTTTGTATCACCTTGTGGTTGCAAACAAAATAAAACTCGCAAACATATGAATAATAGCAGGTAATTCATAATACAAAAATTATCGTTTTATTTATTAATTGACTCGGTTTAATAAAACGTGATTACGGAACAAACAATATTTGTGTAACAATTATATGTATACAACAAAGATTGCATGCATTATTTACCTGATGGCACTAAAGTGTGCCCGAAGCGAAAAGCGGCCGTTTGGAAAAACTGTTCTATCTGCGGATCGATATTAGAATCGTAACCTTCAAAGCAACATATGAATCATTAGGTTTTTGAATCATACAAGTAAATTACAAGTAAAAGTATACATTTTACATCGGTATATACGTGTGTGTGTGTGTTAACTGATTCTTCTGTTTCGTACCATTATACTTAGGAAGACCATCGCCTCCCAACCACGCGGGTAACCATTCGTCGACGACAATGTGTTGCTGAGTTGCTATCACCCATTTGCGAGCCTCGTTGTAAATTCTGTCGCTTCGCCAACTTGGATTGAGACGTTTGATATGAGTAGCCAGAACATTGTGCCATTTGAACCATATTACGTCGAAAGTCAAGAGAAACGGATTCTCATTCCCTCGTGGATTTCCCAGTTCTAGAACACACGATTGCGCGTGTCAATAGAACTAAATACCGATTTATATTTAACAAATAAATTATATTTTATTCGTGCAAGATGCATTTTGTTCAACGGTTAAGCGTTAAATCGATATTGCGAACGACACACCGTGTCCTTATAGATAGAATATTCCGCAGATCGGTCACGAAGATGACGGTGCGAGACGCGCTTAACAAAGCGCTCGACGAAGAACTGGCTCGGGACGAAAAGGTGTTCATACTGGGAGAGGAAGTGGCCGAGTTCGATGGCGCTTACAAGATAACGCGCGGTCTCTGGAAGAAGTACGGCGACAAGAGATTAATCGACACGCCGATCTCGGAAGCTGGATTCTGCGGCATGGCCATTGGCGCGGCGCTTCTGGGTCTACGACCGATATGCGAATTCATGACCTTTAACTTCTCAATGCAAGCGATCGACCGTGTCGTCAACGGCGCCGCGAAGAACCTCTATATGTCCGCTGGCAGATATCCGGTTCCTATTCTGTTTCGAGGTCCCAACGGTAACGCGAAAGGCCTGGCCGCTCAGCACTCGCAGTGCTTCGCCGCGTGGTACATGAGCGTGCCCGGTCTGAAAGTCGTGTCGCCGTCCACCTGCGAGGATTACAGAGGCTGTTTGAAAATGGCCGTGCGTGACCCCGATCCTGTAATCATGTTGGAGAGCGAGCTGCTCTACAATCTCGAGTTTCCCGTGTCCGACGAGGCCATGGACAAAGACTATCTGATACCCTTCGGCAAGGCAAAAGTGGAGAGACCCGGTAAACACATCACTTTAGTGACGCACGGTCAGGCGTATGTGTACACGCTACAGGCGGCCGAGACACTGGCCGGACAGGGAATCCAAGCGGAGGTAATTAATCTGCGCTCGCTGAGACCCTTAGACTGGGATGCCATATTCAAGTCGATCGGCAAGACGCACAGACTGATGACCGTCGAGCTGGGCTGGCCCAGATGCGGAGTAGGATCTGAAATCGTCTCGACGGTGATGGAGAATCCGGTGTTCTTTCAGCTGGACGCACCCGCGGTTCGATGCACCGGCGTCGACGTTCCCATGCCTTACTCGGAGAAGATTGAGGACGAGTGCACCCCGAAGGATCATCACATAGTCGACGCGGCTAAACGCGTTTGCGGCACGAAAATCTAATATCTCTTGATTGTTTTTGTTTGAAAATAAAAACAAATCTTGCTTACTGAAAAATCTGGTGACGCTCTCGGTGTGATGCTGCGACACGTATTCGTGATGACGAGTAGGCGGCGGTGGATTCGCCATTGGTAATCGGACGGTGTTGATGTCGGGATATCCATCGGAATGGGACGACGCGAGTTTGCCATTTGGTTCCAATATTCCGTCAGCGTTTGTTCTTAAGAAGTTCGACCATGCTTTGGACGTGCCGTAAATCGCCCCACCGTCCAGGAATGGCGTAACCCCGTTCAACTGCAATGTGTCACATGTTAGAATTTATATTGTAAATAATATCGTTTGTTTAACAGGACTCCATCCTTTAAGAGTACCTGTTGACGAGGATTATTTGTCGCCTGGCCCGTTTGTCGATTGTACATAGTACGTAAAAAGGGCATTTGCGTGTGACCCGGTTCTTTTCTGTACGGATGGTCTTCCGTAACGTTTATATTGAAATATTCTGGTGGACATGCCGGCCTCTGAGCATCTACAATTTCCGCCGCCACGTGTTGACCTAGGCATAAGTTTTTTTTTTTAGAACTTATTACGCTAATATATTGTGTTGTGAGACTATCTCTAACTCCTAAAAACATTTAAACGACTATTCTGACTTTTCGCAAATTTACAAATCTGAGTTCAGAGAAAGAGGTCCTGTGGAGAAAATGAATATAAATCGTTTCCGCGTACCAAAAAATACAAGTAGAACGTTTCTTCCTCTTTTCGATTTAGTTCCAATTTTTCCACTCAGCAGCTTCTCACTTATCTCTAATGGCTCCGGCCTGTTTGAGCCCGAAGGCTTGTTCACTCCGTCTTCATAAGCCGCCGGCAATTTTCTCAGCAACGAGGTATCGACCGCGCCCAGTTCTGGTTTGCCAATGTTGTTGTTCCATCCGTTGTAACCGGGATACTCGGTTGCTGCGCGATACGTTCGACATTTGTTGTTTACATTTGATTTGTCGTTTTTACTCTTACCCCAACATCCGGTAAACAAAAAATCTGTTAAATCTTCAGCGTAGGTTTTGTCGCTCAGTTTTTTATCCGGTTTTTTAAAATCTGCAATTCGAAAGCATTTCTGTGTTTCGACATCATTTTGGCTTAAGAAAAAAAAAATGAAAAAGCAAGAGCGAGCAAGAAAAACAACAGCAATAACACTCGTACGAAATCTATGTGCACAAAAACGATACAAACGTACATTTATTCGGATCTGGAGTAGGTGCAGGTGGAGCAGGTGGAGTCGTAGAAGTTGTTGTAATCTGTTGTTGCGGCTCCTGCGGTTTTTGTTGTTGCGGCTCCTGCGGTTTTTGTTGTTGCGGCTGCTGCGGTTCTTGTTGTTGCGCGTTAATTAAGAAAAAATTAATTATCGCAAATAAACTTAATATAATATATATATTGCAACGTGACATTGGGAAAAAAAAAATATCTATTGTGTTCCGTAAAACTTCTGTTTCAGAACTGTCTACCGGCACAGCTCCAACGATACCGCAAGAGATAGTTCACACAATTTCACCCGACTCACTTCCTCTCTGTGTGATAATACACGCAGGAAACCAAAAATGTGAATCATTGGTAAATATAAATAAACCACGAGAGCGGAAAATGATTACGAGCTCTCTCATTCCGTAATTTTACGTCACGTTTACGGGAATAGATATATTGCAAAAATTATTCGTCGTTTGTAAACGAGCGCGTATCGAAAAATGTACGCGCCGAGAAGGAAGGTCTTCTGGTTTGCAATCGTCAGCAGACTCGCGATATTTATGTTGCAAGTTATTTTCAATGCGTTAGTTCCCGATCATCAGGCAGACGCGTTCAGACGACCCTCGGATCCCTCGGAGGAAGTTTCTCCGTGGGATCGGGCGGTTTATTTCTTATTCAACGGTCTAACGCGATGGGACGGGGAATATTTTCTGCATGTCGCGAGATACGGATACACGTACGAGAACAGTCTCGCGTTTTATCCGTTGTATCCGATCTCGATTCGCGTTCTCGCCACTTTTTTGTCGAAGGTTTGTCCCGTGACGTTAAATATTCAAAGCGCGATGATCCTCGCCGCGGTTTTTCTTAACTTCGCGTGTTTCGTCAAGTCGGCTCTTGTTCTCTACGATCTCACGGAACGCGTGTTTCAGAACACCGTAACGGCGTACAAAGCGGCGATACTTTACTGCGCGAACCCGGCTAGCATATTCTTCTCGGCTGCGTATTCCGAATCTTTGTTCGCTTATTTAACGTTTTATATCATGCGCGCGAGCATAGAACGCTTACCTAACGTTTGCTATCCGTTAGGTTTGTCGATCTTAACGAGATCGAACGGCATGATCAATATCGGTTTTCCCGTTTATTTCGGACTCAGGCATTTGTGCGATGTCGCGTGGAAAGATACGGACGGACAACAAGGAAAGTGGCGATTTTTATTGTTCTTGCGACGTGTTTCGCGACTAGTCACGTTAAGAGACTGTTTTGCCGTGTTTAGCACGGCGATCATATCGTTAGCTCCGTTTTGCCTCTTGCAGATGTACAACTACGCGAAATTCTGCACCTCTCTGTTTGATCACAATAAGTCGTCGCCGCCTGTTCACGTCGCGCGATATGCCGCGAAAAATAATCTCGTTCAACCGGGGATGACGGAGTCAGCGTGGTGCAACGCTCGCGTGCCTTTAGCTTATTCGTACGTGCAAAAAACGTACTGGAACGTCGGGTTTTTGGAATATTACAACTTCAAACAGATACCAAATTTTATTTTGGCTTTTCCGATATTGTATATCACTCTGCGATGCGCAAAAGAGTTTGTCCGTGAACACAAGGACGAATTGTATTCGCTAGGTTTATTCGATAGAAAAACAAAACGTGAAAGTGCTCAGACGTATCCGTTAATTATGTTCGTCTTTGTGGCTCACGGATTATTTCTAACGATATTTTGTCTATTGTTCGCACACATCCAGATCAGTACGCGTCTATTGTGCTCCGCGAGCCCTCTGATATATTGGTACTGCGCCTCGATCATGTCTCACGATCGCGTTGATTCCGAATACGAGATTGGCGAGAACGCGTACTCCAGATGGAAAGTATTTTTCTTATCACAAAAACGATACACAACGCGAGACAAACTTGTGCTATTGTATTTTATAGGATACACGATTGTAGGATGTTTCATGTTTTCGAATTTCTTACCTTGGACTTGACACGATTACGTTCCGTAGACATACGTGAACGTATGTTTATTTATTATAAAATGCATTTCTTTTTTTTTTTTTAATTACATCGGAGATATATTGATGTTGAAAATGATTTGCAGATTCTTTGCAGGCAAGAATGAATTGTATACGTGTGCGTAAAAGTTGTTGAAACACATGAATATTTATGTATGTAGATATCATCATGTGAGAATTTTGCGAATGAATATCAGTCATTTAAAAAAATATTTTTGCATATTTATTTACATAGAAAATCTGTTTTATTTATAGATATTTCTATTTTATATATATATATATATATATATATGTTATTTCTCTGTGTAAAATAAATACATATATTTCAATTGTATGTACAGATTACGTGGCAGATATTTTAAACATTAGCTTTTAATATGTAGCTTTTTATGCTTTAATATTTCAATAGGTGTGAGATACAGTGTTTGCGAACAATCAGGACATTCGTACGCTTGACTATTGGGTTTGCGCGTTTTATTTTCACGTTCTCTGTCGATCTCGTCTTTTGCGTTTGTAACAGTGCAAGAATTCTGATGCTGAAGTTTTTCTATACTACAAAGAGTCGCTTGAAAATCACAATTTTGACAATGCCATTCGGTTTCGAACATTTGTGCGATTAGATATTCACTCCATTCGGTTTCCCTTATGCTGTAACGTGATTAAACGTTGATTAATGCAACATTAAGCTCGTTTAACAATTTTTAGTCGTCGTGGAATTTAAATAACTTTACGCACGGTAACGGTGCGTTTTTTCACTTACCAATTGTATGTAATACTGTCTGTTACGTAGACTCCACCTTTAATTACATTCGGTACACTCTTGAAATCAGGGTGAAAAGGATTGGGTTCTACACTCATGTCGTTATTGCCATCGCGAACATATATTGTCTTTAAATCGGCTGGTAACAGTCGTTTTATGGTATACGGCACTGTAGTGTGCATATATTCGATCAGTTCTTGCGTAAGACTTTGCTCAATTTTATCAAAATCTTTTCTTTCGTTATTTTCGAATCCTAAAATATTGATATTAATTTTTCTATAGAAATCTATTAATTATAAAAAAAAAAAAAAAAATGAAATTGAATGTGTGTACGTGCTTCCTACCTTGCAACTGTTGATTCAATAAAAATTCCCATTTATTTCGTAATTTAGCAGCTTTCATCAATAACGTTTGACCGCTGTCAGGAACAGGGAATTCCAACATCAACCACGAATCACATACTATTCTGCAAGATAGAGATCTATCTTATGCTTTTCTATTCTTTTCTATTATTAAATTCTATACACATATAAATGTGCAAATTTAGAAAAAGTTACTTACATAGAAAACGTACTGTTAGTATCTATTTCGCGTGCAAATAATAGCAACGTTTGTGCAGCCGGCATTCTCAAAGTATTCACTAGATACGGTTTTGTAGTTTCCAAAAGAGATCTGTCAACGTTAACTTATATCTGACAAACTATTACAGTTATACGTTTGTACGACTAATATAAAGACAAATAAAAAAAAACTTACAGATACGCCAATATCTGATGTTTAGAACTAACTGGAGATTTGCTCTTAAAGCCTGGTATTGCTACAGTATCCGTTTCTTCGATTTGCAGAACTTGCGGATGATTTCCGAAGAAGCTCATCGGATGCAAAGCAACGTACGGCTTTGCTTTCGTGTGAAATAATTGCTCGCTCATAGACTATGTAATAAGTAAGAAACATGTATTCATGTGTTAACACGTAGAATATTTAATATAATAATTGACTTATAAAGAGATAAATTATATGTGTACGTATTATATATATACATTTTTTTACCTTGCAGTAATTGAATTCGTCGGCACAAGCAAATTGCGGATATAAACCACTACATAATATCAACTTCAACATTGTTAGATCCTTGTAGCTACAAGCGGTGGACGCGGTCAACAGATTCTGCACCTGGCTCGAGTCATTTCTCATTCGAAACTCTATGTCCTTTATATCAAGTTCTCCATTGTCTTCGTCATTGTCTTCCAACTGTATGTCGAATTTTTCTACTTTTAATTGTTTACGCCGTCTGGGTTCACTCTGTTTGTAAGTTCTTTTCAGAGATTTCAGAAGTTTTAGTTCTCCATGTCTCATCGCACGCTCGGCGCTCGTCATGGAGGAATTTGGTTCCGGCAGACTTTTGAGTAAGCTGCAATCCTGTATAGAACGTTACCCAGAAACATAGATTAAGATATTTTATAAAACCCATTGAATAAATTTTTATTAATATATTTGTGAAAAATATATGTCTTAAATGTGTTACTAACTTGAAGTAATTCTTTAAATTGAGTTCTCAACTTCGTCATTTCGTAGAAGCGCTGTTCTTCCAGACCTCTTCTTCTACACCATTTTCGGCTACTGCTGCTGCTACCTCTGTATTCTTGAGCGCTTTCCTGCTTCACCTCCAGCCATTCTTTAAACGCGTTCAGTAACGTTATTGGATCACCGTGATCAGATTCTAACTTCTTTCTAGATGTCTTCAATATATCACCGTTTCATTGCGGAATTAAATTTTGACGTAATTGTGTTTCTTATGTCAATATTAGTTACCTCGCATTCGGCGTCTCTGTACGATCTGTTAGTGAACGGATTTTGTATACTCAACGCAGCGGCTAGTGACAATACGGGCTCCACTTGATGGAAAATAGATCCCATTATCAACATCTTTCCTATTGTAATATCAACGGGTAGCCGCGCTAACGTTTTACCAATACACGTGATCTTCTCATTATCCGTAAGTGCACCCTGATGAAAAATAATTAATTCTTTACGTTACAATAATTTATTTTTAAACAGAGAAAAAATAAACTGAAATAAATTTATAATGAAATACGAACGTGATCTTTCAAAGAAAGTATAGCATTTTCGATGCTATCGGCCGGTGGTGGTTCTATAAAGGGAAATTTGCGTGCGTCAGGAAGTCCCATCGCTATCATTTGTAATAGCGAAGAATCCAACGGTACGCGTTGCAATTCTGGCGTCGAATATCTTTCCAGCATGTTATATTCTTCCTCCGAATAAATTCTATAAGAGATCACACAATGTTATTTACCTCTAGTTTATCAGTAATATAATAGATGATATCGAACAAACCTATAACAAACTCCAGGTCCAGTTCTACCAGCTCTTCCTTTCCTTTGTTCCGCGCTAGCTTTACTGATCCAGAATTCTTTTAATCTTTGCATTTTACATGACGGATCATAACTCATCTCTTTCACTTTTCCACTATCAGCGACAAATCTGATTCCGTCTATGGTAATAGAAGTTTCCGCAATGTTGGTTGCAACAATGCATTTTCTAACACCTTCAGGTGCGTAATCAAATACCTAGAAAAAATGATAAGAAAAGATTCTTCGATGTTCTTTCATGATTCTTTTTTTATAATGTTATACCTTATCTTGTTCAGCGATAGAAAGGGTACTATGGAGCGGTAAAACTATCCAATTATTTTTTTTCATACTATATTCTTTGGCAGCGTCCACAACAGCGGTAATTTCACTTATTCCACTCAGAAATATTAACAAATCACCTTTCTCGTCGACTAAAATATATTGTAATTGTTATAAATATAAATTTACTTATTTTTATTGCTATTCATTTTCCTATTTGCCTATATTATCACTGTATTTATGAAGATGGAGTCTTCTTACCTGGATATTTTTTGTCAATTATTTGCAATATTTGTACATATGGACTTGGATTAAATCGATCATTTTTATATTTGAGGTCATCTATAGTTACAGGACGATAGAGCAGTTGAATAGGATACAATCTTCCAGGAACCTACATATGTGAAAAAGCAGTGTTTAATAGCAACATATTACATAACAGTAAAGTATTAAATTATGTGAAATATTTAACATTTTTTATGTATACGATGTGGACTTACTTCTATTACTTTAACATCTTCCTTTGCAAAATAATTACTAAACAGCTCTATATTAATAGTGGCTGACATTAAAACCAGTTTCAAATCAGACTTTTGATTAATAATACATTTCATAATGCCTAATAAAAAATCTCCATGTAAGTGACGCTCATGCACTTCATCCAAGACTATGACATCGTATGTGGATAATACGGCTTCACCAGATAGCTAAAAGCGAGAAACAAGATGTTTAAAAATCTGAAAAATATTTGGACATTTTAATTTAAAGATACTGAAATTACCTGTCGTAGCAATAAACCTTCAGTTATGAACAGAATGTTTGTCTCTTGGTTCTTCTGTTTTTCAAAACGTATCTGATATCCAACTTTGCTAAGGTTCTCACTCAAAGTTTCAAAAGTAACTCTTTTTGCTAATGAGATACAGGCTATTCTTCGAGGTTGTGTGCATGCTGTAAAATAAATTGTGAATAATAACAACCTAAACGCTTGTTGAATAAAATCACAAGTAGGAAAAGTAGATAAATATGAGAAAAATTATTAAATTGTGTAATTTTCTCTTGTATGTTTTTAAGTACTTTCAAATGTTTTTGCTTTTATTAAGATTTTCATCAGTAAATAAACATGTTAAAATAAATGCAGTTTTGCTTTTTACACAAAATTATACAATTTAACAATTATTTTGCTCCAGGAGTATATATTTTATTTTATATCACACAAGTGAGATAATGTTTTTAAATTATATGCTTTACCTATTTTTTGAAAACCAGCTTGATACAAGTACTGAGGTACTTGGGTCGATTTGCCACATCCTGTGTCTCCCGCAATGATGACCACCTTCTCCTTCTTAACTGTTTCCATAATTTCTTCCTTATAACGAGAGACAGGCAAATTAGCTTGCATGTCTCTCAGCTTTTTCAACTTGCCAAATTTCTCCTTCTGCTTGAAATCCAAGTACAGAACTATCACGTCCCTGAATCTCAACAGTCGTGACTTTGTCAGTTGTTTTACTTCGGGAACCCGCGCGAATAATTCCCCGTGGGACAGAGAAAGCTTGAAATTCAAACAATGAGACTTGTGATACTTGTCCGGAACTCCGATGGAGTTTAAAGTGGGATCGGTCGCGTGCTCTTCGCCGTCGCCCAACTGCTTCTTCACGGACTCGTACTTCTCGACAAACTTCCAAAAGTCCGCGACATCATGGATAAGATTCGGATTGGCCGCGAAGATCTTGTTCAATTCGTGCTTGTACCTGCCGTAAGAGAAATCGTCGTCAGTCTCCTCGCGACGATCCCTCGACGACGAGCCGCCCCGCGATTCGAAACCGGAGGATTTACATTTCTCTCGGTTGTTTCTCGAGGATTCGCGTTCCTCGCTTCTGCGATGTCTCTTCCTGTCGTCGTCACGCGCGCGTTCCCGGCTGGACGAGCGATGTTTCGACCTGCTTCCCGACGACATCGCGGTACGTTGTCTCAACAGGTTTAAATCTCAAAGTAAATGTATCATCATATAACCTCACTTTTCTCGGTCGTGAGACGCATAGTGTTTTTTTACGCAAGTACAAGCAAGTTTTTATTTCCCCCGTTTAAGACACTCTGTTTTATATGACGCGCGACGATTTGCTATTTTTCTAAACGAATGAGACATTTGTCTGATAAGATTTTCATGTCGCTGGAGCTCTATCTTCCACTTGTCATCAGCCTCGCGCGTGTACAGTAAACATAACCTTCGCAGTTTTAACACCTCAGCCGTAAGAATTGTTTGCATATTTAAATAATTTTTGAATTTTATCATTAAATCATGAGATCCGATAAGCTAGAGTTTATCGGAAACATTTGTACCGATCTGTGCATATTTACTTGTAAAAAACGTACGTATGAAGTCAATTTTGTTAATAATAAATAAGCTTTGCATATTTGTAAAACACACTTTATTCAAACGAAAACTTCAGAACAATTAACATATATAGAAACTTGTAGTTTCGTATGTGTGCAAAAAACAAACAATTTGTACACACATTTGCGTAACTCGTGCTTTGAAATTAGCGCCACTGCTAAAAGGTCTCCGTGCCACTTCTTCGAATCATGTTTTCCTGATACGTTTTCCGACTTGAATCTCCGATTCAAGCGCAACTTCAGCTCGTTTTACGGGTCTGTTCTTTATTCCCGAGACCATCTTACACTCCTTGCACTTGAACAAAAAAGATAGCCATGATACAAATTAATCTCGAAAAAACGTAAGAGAAAAAACAATCGGCGCGGATTGTTGTCACAGATTGCGGTGTAACAAAGAAACAAATCTTCATGACTCATTTTTCGGCCCGGTAATCACAGTCGGATTCGATATCTCGAAATTGATTCAAATGCAAGGCCGGACTTTGAACATCGATTGTTATTACGAATTATTTTGCAATTCGTCTGGGATTTTTATTCTTGGAAATCTATTTTCGCGCGCGCGCGCGCGCGCGGACTTTTTCCGGTCAAGTAACTTTTTATCGAAATATATATATATATATATTCTCTCAAGAGAGAAAGAAAGAGAGAGATGCACTGATGTGTACCGAGACCTTGGATTCTGTAACGTGTCACACGATGAAAGTCGATATATTCGCAGATAATCAACTTTTCTTTCCTTTAGATATTTTTAGAAAATGAATAATGGAATATATACAGGGTGTCCCAGAATAGCCGTACAATCTCTCGTAGGCAGGTAGAAGGAATAAAACTGAGTCGAAAAGTTCTATACCATTTTGCTAGATTCGCAATAGTTACTGAGATTTTAATTAACAAAGATCCGCGAATAAGCAT